TTTGATGGTTTATGCCTATCTTGATGGCTTGTGCCTCTCCCCTAGTCTAGATAGCTTTATTTTCATGCTAGTAGTGTAGATTTAGTGTAATGGTAGTGTAATGTTAGATGGGAGGACAATCTACTCTTGATGTTTGATGTTCCGTGCTTGTGAGTCCAAATGGCATATTCCTCTAATATTTTGTTGTATATGGATTGTGAGCTTAATGAAGGATTAATGACTAGTTATGATATGTTGCATCTTTCACATGTGTTTAGACAATTTATTCCTCTCCCAATAGATATTTTGTACCTCTCACATGATGTTTAGATAATGCATGTTTAACTAAGTCATCCTTATGGATTGCTTGGACTATGAGCTTAATGAAAGGTTTAATGACTTGATTTGATATTTTGTTCTCTTCACATGATGTCTAGACAATATATTCCTCTACCAATAGATGTATTGTGGCCTCACACATGTTGATTGAGACAATTTGCACTTGTTGAGTCACCCTTACCAATTGAATGTCTTTTACACACACAACATTGTTGCAACACATTCATTTCCCTCATTAGTCACTTGATTATGGTTTGGAATAGTATTGTTTGGTGGTGATCTCTACACCCCAAGACCTTTCCTTCTTACTTACTCTTTATCTTATTGCATTTTAATTAATTCTTTTCTAGAAGTAATCAACCAACCCAATTCTCTTTTGCAATCATTTGGTACGCTAGAGTCGAAGTTGAAATTCCAACACGTATAATCCCTTGGGACGATCCCTACTCACTCTTGCTACGTTAGTAGTAGTGTTGGTAGTGGTTTTTATAAATTTAAATTTGACATAAAAGGCTTTTCTTGAACCACACATTCACTACATTCAGTTTGGCGTATTACAAGCGACCTTGTCATGAGCAATCCAAAGAGAAAGGTTACGCGGGGGCCCAATAATATGAACTCAATTTCTTTTCTTAATCCAAAGCCCAACCCACCTATCTCTACTGATATTAGCAACTCGCAGAGTCGTCATTTAAACGTCCTCCTTGCAACTGTTTGGAACTTGCTGGAGAAGAGGAGATGGATAAATCTCTCTGCTGCCGCGGCTGGTGTAAGACCTGTCGAGAAGGGGTTTTGTCATTCTCAGTGTTGCGCCGACATTTCTTCTACATTCTTTTATGATAACTCACAGCCGAAGGGAAGATCCAGATTTCCGTCTCGGGATTCTTACAGTAATCGTCATGTAGTTCGATGGTCAAGAAAAGAAAAGCAGAGGTGGATTCCTCCTAACAGTTCAGGTATGTCTTCTGACTCAATTCCTCGGAGCCACTTTACTGCTCCGTCCTCTTCTTCTACCCCTTTCAAGCTCGAAAAGACCCCTACCCCTTTTCTTTCTTGTCTTAGCAATAGTATGAAAACCTTCTCGCTGCAGCGATTGATCAGCTAAGTTCACTTATTGAGGTGGGAGGGCAAATTAGTCTATGAGATGGATGAATGGAATCAACAGAAAACTCTTTAAAACTATATAGTAGGTGATAAGATGTTTAGAATTATGTCCACCCTTGATTCCTGTGTCCCGATTCATCTATTATCGAAGGAGGAGCAAGGTCCTCTAGCGGTCACTAAGAAAAAAGGTATTTACTTCAATCAGAGGATCATTTTGCATTGAAATGGTAAAGTACTTGAGTGAGAATCGCCTATCTTCCCTGAGATTGACAAGAGATCCCCATTTCCTCCACCACAGACAGACCCTTGTGAATTAGCCATTGTAGAGTGCTTCTAGTACTTAAAGTTTGAAGCAGAGAAGAATGGTTTATGCCAATAGAGATTTCAAATGTGTCTTCCCTGAAAGGATAGATAGTAAAGAATGCCAGTTAATGGATCACTATTGTCAGAAAACCACCAATTTCATAAGGGGGTTGTATTTCATAAAAGCACGGGAGAATTTGACTGATTTGGTGTTTGTTGAGGCGCAAGTGCAGATTTCACTGGATTGTATCGCTGGTGAACCAATCCCTGGCCAAAAGAAAGCCCCGCCCTCTTCACTTGTCTCTTTTTCTTTAACTATCACTTCTTCTAGCCTCTTAGCGGAAACCGAGAACCGCAAAGTCTGGGCACACTTCCTTAAAGATGAAGGATTCTGGCCACACTTCGGCTGCTCTTTATGTCCTTTACTTGGGTGGTAAATCAGGGAAGAGGGGGTAAGAAATACGAACTTGTCTATTGTATTTCTGATCCATGCCTGAGCAAAGAGGGACTAGTGTTGAAAGAGGGATTGGTGTAGAATTTGTGTTTACAGACCCTCCCCATTTGAAAAAAAAGTACCCACCTCTAACTCCCCCGAGGTTTAGGGGAAACATCCCTTTCAAGCACCTCACTGGTGACCGAAATGTCTCTATTCCCATTTTCTACTGTTTTCTAACGCCACGCATACTTATCTCTCTAAACCATCTAACTCAAAGATTGTCCTTGCTGTTAATGTACTTCCATGCCAAAGAGCAAGCAGCGGGATGAACCTTTTTATGGCTGAAATAAGAATACTTAGTACTCACCTAGCCGAGTAAACACTCTATCAGTGGCTCTCTTCCGGTACACTAGATTAGTAATCATGTGCTCGTGTGTTCTTGTTATCAAGGATTGGCATCACCAGGTTGAGTCTATCTCTTTGGCCTCAGAGTAGTATATTTCCGGATGTTTTATGTTGGAACCACCTGTTCCCAATGTAGAAGTCAAGTAAGGTGCATATCCATCAGACTCAATAGGAAAGTATGAAAAAGCTGCAGTGCCGAATCTCACATCTAACAATGGGTCGAATCTTGAAGAGGAAGGCTTGGTTGAGCTGTCAGAGGCTAGGGCGATCTCTCTCAACTCCGAGCTAGATGGAAATGGAATGGCGTTCAAAATAGGAGCACTGTGTCCATAATCAAATACCTGTAACTAAGGGATACAAGCATACATTATCTTGCTCGAGCAAAAAGGCAAGGAACGCAAGGAACTACTTTCTGGGAAGGCTATTTAGAAGAAAAAGTGCTCTCGGGGAATGGTTTTGGGGAAGTATGTGGAAGCTAGTACTCTATTCTATAATTAGGCTGGCTACCCTTATTTTACGAGCAAAAACTTCTAAGCATCCATCCCTCGACCCATGTAGGTGCTTTTTCCAGTCGACTTTGGGAAAGGAAATCTAGCTGCTTACAAGCGCAGCTGTTAGAAGGCTCAGTTCATGAACTTCTAATTCTTTGGCATTTCACTTCCCAGGGAGAATGGCTTCTCTTAAGGGCTACGATCAAGAAGACCTATTGCTAGAATCTGGGGAGGCGAAACGCGGCAAGAGGCAAGGCTGACTAGGGCTTCCTTAACAATAGCTATAATAAGGGACCAGACTCTTAAGCGGAAATGCAATAAAGGATGAGCAAGGCCACTCATAAGAATCAGACCTCGTGACAAAGAAATAACAGATTAATTTAGTCATGCAATTGGCGGGGGGCAGAAAGCAGATTATCCATAAATAGTTTGATCCCACTGCAAGCTTCCATGACTACACCGTCCTCTGGAACCCTCATCAAAGAGTGTAAGCATACGACAATAGGACATAAGCTAAACTATATATATATACATACATTCATTCAACCCCAACAATTGATATTAATTTCACACGCTATCGAATGAGAAAGATGATGAACATTCCAGCACACAACCAGAAGCTTTTACTTATTTCCTTTCTTGGAATTTTGATCAGCTACAAACAGAAAAAAAAAAATAATAATAATAATAATAATAATAATACCTTTTGGGCCTGTTTACTAACGCTTTTACTTTCTGATTTTTACTCTAAAAGTGAAAATTATGTTTACTAATATAATTTTACTTTTCACCTTTTAGAAAGTACTTTCAGATTTAATAAAGGAAAGAGAAAGTGAGAATTTGTTACTTTCTCTACTTTCTACATTGTTTACAAGAAGTACTTTCTCTACTGTAGCATTATTTATCAAAAAAAAAAAAACTCAAAAATTAGAATATCCAATCGCTCCACGCTGCCTCCTCCCACCATGGCCACCGCCCAAGGGCGGATCCAGGATTTTCTCAATGGGGTGGGCTAAATCAAAATATATCCAAGTCTAAGTATAAAGTTACAAACATATATATATGTGTATATATGTATGATATACGTAGTATCATATTAGATTAGTAAAGTTATAAATATATAATATTAATTATTGTCTTTGTTTGTAACTTTGAGTGCATCAGAGCTTTCCATTTCATTGTTGTACACTTCTTAGATCCGATGCATGAAACAAGCCAAAAACTCACAACCCTATCATATTGGTTCATAGTTGTCGTACACTTTGTGCCCCTAACCATATATCTTTCTCTCTACAAGTCCATATCTATAGAAGTCTCCCATGCCAATATTAGTCAAGACGCTCAGAGAACTTATTAAGTTTGGTAATTCTTATTGGTGGACTCTTTCTTCTTTGCTGTTTCAGTTTCAACATTTCAAAAGCTATGTCAATGCTCAAACTGATAAAGTTAAATTAAAATTGCATAGAGTCTTCTTTTTCTTTTTTCACAGACAAAATTAGATTTCAAAGAGATGAAAAAGAAGAAAGCCCAAGTAGATGAATCATATTACACACCATTGTTTCAAAATTTCAATACCTGAAAATTCGTGTGTGAAGTGACCAAAGATTCTTGTAACTAAAAGAATTAGACACTATGCTCAATCGTATGTCTTCAACTCTAAATTTCCTTCAATTCAAAAAGTGTTTTGACTTAATTTGAGTGCATCAACATATTATCAACATCATCAGTCATCATCACTAGAGTCAACGTTGACATCAACATCCTCGTAACGTTAACATTAACATCCTCATCTAGATCACATAATCCTCTTGCATAGATTTACATTTGATTAAGATAAATTGAAAAGAGACTTCCTATCATAATTGGTCATTTTAAAACCAACATCACTGCTACAAAGGTAAGAAGATTTATATAATTCAATTAGCTAGGCAAAAAAAACATACCTATTTTCTTTTTGCCCACTCCACCCATTCCCATCAACTCTCTTCTTTCAGAAAAGAAACCTCTATTATTAGAACAAAAGAGGAAAAGTTTTAAAAGTGTTAACAAACTTGTAAAACATATATTCCGAAATTGAAAACTAAACTTCCAAGTCTTTAATTTCCATTAATAAATTTTTCGAGCATCACATCATAACAATATTATATATATATATATATATATATATATATATATATATATATGTAGAAACAAAAACAAAAACAAAAACAAAACATCAGTATGTAAAACATGAATAAATAAACATAACCAATAGTTAAAAATGTCAATTAAAATTTTAGAAAAAGTAAGAGTTTGTTACCTGATGACTGATGAGGCATGTTTGTTGAACGTTATTCTTGCTAAATGTTAAGGGCCGATGCAAACCCTATAAATAAGAAAACACTCAAGTTGTGAGGAAGAGGTTTCACAATCTCACTCATAACAATTAAAACACCACCATCTAAGTACTATCTGTATCATGTATCAACACAACCCAATTATGTTTTCAGTCAAAATGTTGGACACCTATCCGTAGAAAGATGTGTGATTACAAATAGGTGTGATTAGCACATATTATACTCAGCTCTTATGTTAAATTAATCCAATAATAAAGTACAATGCATCAGTTTAGGAATAATCTTCGAAATTAACAAATCAATTTCTGATATTCTGCATTCTAATAACAAAAGAAAATCAAAAACCAAAATTTGAAAATAAAAATTTGGCAGAAAGATTGAATATATCCTTCGTGAATTACACAAATTGTATTTCTATGTGAAACAAAACATCCAGGATTTCTCAATGTTGTGGGCTAAATCAAAATATATTAACCAAAATCAACTGTTGTTTAATTCAATTTTAGTTAAGTAACAATGTTTCTTTAGACAATTGACTGATTAAGCCGTAGAAAATCCTATTTGGGTAATTAATAAAAAAAAAATTACCAATTTATTTCTAAACAATTCACCACTCAGTACCCTATCTCTTCTTTTGACCAATTTACTAATCCTATTTGAGAATCTACTAGTGGAAGCAGAGCGTGAGGCAGATCATGGCAAGCCCCTTCCAACACTATGGAATTCACCCAAAAGCATGCTTTTTGCAAGTATTTTAATTTTCAAGAAGTAACTTTAGAGCTTTACCCTATATTAAATACTTTTGCTTGTCAAAGTTCTTGTTGTGATTTTTTTTTTTTTTGGTTCCGAAAAGATTTCCATATTCAAAAAGCTTGGCATGTTGATAAAAATTGTTTCAGATTCAATTTAGTTTGCAAAACAAGAATCACAAACCTTGATTAGTTGATTTAGAAAAAAAATTTAAAACAAAACCCGTACATACAAGTTAGCAGTTCCGGGAGGGGGGGGGGGGGGGGGGGGGGGGGGCTTGAGAGTTGAGAGACAGAGGGCCAGCAGCAGAAGCTTGCGAATGGCGAACCCGAACTGGAACAGCGGGCGATGGGAACTGAAAGATATGGGTTTTGAATTTTTGAACAATCTGAAATGATATGCCGATATTGGTTTTGATATAGGTAATAGGTTTTGATTCTTGCAGACAGATAGATAAACTGAAATATATGGGTTTTGAACTTCTGATTCTTGTAGATTTTGTAGTTTGCAGTTGCAGAGATAGAGAGAGAGAGGGGGGGGGGGGGGCAAGTTCAGAGTTGAGAACGAGAATAGAGATGGAGGCTGAAATGATTTTTCTGGTGGCCCATCATCCATGGGCCTATAAATTTTGAGGCCCTGGGCGACCGCCTTGGGTCAGAGCCGGCCCACTACTAAAGACTAAATAGCATAACTAAGTATTTTTTTTTTTTTTTGAAAATTGTAAAGGAAGGGAGAGAATATTTCTATTTTTTAATTTTTTAACATTTCTAATTAATATTTTTTTATAAAAAAAAAAATTGTATAGATTGCAAAATATCTATATATATTAAATATTTATTACCTAAATCCCATAAAAAATACGGAGTAATATTTTTTATAAAAAAAAAATTTATAGATTGCAAAATATCTACCTATATATATATATATTAAATATTTATTACCTAAATTTACACCCAAAAAAATACAAATATATATATATATATAGAGCTCCAACTATAAATCATAATTATTATTATTATTATTATTTTAAAAAATAAAATAAAACTAATTGGTGAGTAAAAGGAGAGCCCAGCCGACAGACCCTAGGGTTCGATAAGGTCCCCTACGGTCTCAGTACTCGGTTACCTAAAACAGTAGATACAGCTGGCAAGTTAGACCACATTTATGTCTCGATCTTTTCAAAGTACTTCGTACTCCTTGGATCTTATACATCCGCCCAACCTGAAAAATAAAAAAAATAAAAACAAAAAAATTGGTTAAAAAAACAAAACACAGAAAAAACTTATAGAAAATTTTCTGCCAATAAGAAATAGTGTGACGTTGAATTGTAGAAAATAATAATTATAAAAATGCAAAAACAAAGATCTAATAAAGATTGTTCAGTAAGTTGCTTTAACTTTAAAAAAAAAAAGAAAAAATTTAATAATAATTCATTCTTTGATTTATTGTTAAAAAAAATATTGTCTTCAACTGCCAAAAAAAAAATTCCCAATTTTGCAAGAACAATCCAAATGGATGGTGAGAAAATGTAGTGTTATCCGATTAAATTTGGTTGAAATGATCATTTGGTATCCTAACAAAGTCATTTGAGTCATTTTTTCTCACTTAAGGATAGTTTGGGTATTTAAATAATAGTCCATTATTATTTGATTAACATTAGAGGTGGTCAGAAAATTTTGAACAAACTTGAGGTGTTATTTTGACAAATCTCAGGTTAGGTCAGTGGCTATTTTGACAATAATTTTAGCTGGGTGATATTTGGACAAACCTCAAGAGAGGTCAAGACTATTTTTGACAATAATTTTAACTGGGTGATATTTGGACAAACCTCAAGAAGATTAGGTATCTTGCCATATTTTTTATTGACAACATGAGTCTTTATATAGATTCATAATACCAAAAATAAAATCTAAAATAAGATTTACCCATCAATAGAAATATTGTATAACAATTCAAAACAAACGAATGGCGTAAATATGTAAAAAAGGTACAGTAGTTTAAAAAAAAAAAAAAAAAAAAAAAACCCAAAGTAAAAATGATAAAATAAGTTTATTTTAAAATTATGTATCATGTAATATAATGGCATTGCATGTAATGGTATCAGCCAATGTATATTTGAAATCAATTACCATAACTGTGATATTTTTTAAAATCCTTAGTAAATCAATCAAATTAAACTAGTAAAATATTAAAAATTGATTATTATATATGATACCAAAGCAACAAAAGAAAATAAAAATATTAAATTGATATCCACAACAAATATATAGAGTTATTTTATGAATTAATTGAAATTTCAATTTGTAAAAGAGAAGGATGATGTAGATAGAATTTATCTCACTTGGCTTGGGAGACTTGCATTGTACTAACAAGAAGAAGTGCCAAAATATGGTCTGAACAAGATATTATGGTCTTCTACAAATGGCAGATTAGTACGACGATTAATTTTAAAGAGTAAAGATGTAATTGCCTCAAGTATAAGCTTTAGAAGAGTATAATCACATTTAAGGCTAAGTTTGTTTTAACGTAAAATATATATATTTTTAAATATTTTTCTTTTTCAGATAAAATATTTTTTTATTTTTACTTATTCAGTGTTTGGTAGGAGTTTAGGTCGAGGTTAAAGTCGAGTCCATCAAACAGGACATTAAAAAATTTCTCACCCAAACAAGCGGAGCATAAATTTCATCTATCACCGCCTAGATACATGCATACACGTTATTCATGATCATGTATTTTTTTGTTTCATGGTAAAACCTATAATATATTTATTTAATTCTCTCTCTCTCTCTCTCTCTCTCTATATATATATATATATATATATATATTATTTAGATTAAGTTCTACAACTTTCTACTAAATATATACTAGAGATATGCATTCGTATAAATTTTCCTGGAACTATATAAAAGAAAGTATTGATTAAGATTAGTTTTGCTAAAAAGCATTAATACTTTCCATATTGACTTTTAGCACGTTATTGAACCTCACCAATTTTTTAAAAATTTGCATTAGAACTGTTTTTGTTAAGTTCTAAGTTGCCTTGGACAGATTACATGAGTATGCACCAAAAGCTTTTTTTTTCTAGAACATTCTAACACTTATTCTGATGTTAATAATATGTTATTATTATTTTGAGTCAATCACGTCATAAAATGTCCAAAAAAGAAAGTTGTTGATGTAGGTCTTAATCAAGGGCGGATCCAGAAATTTTTAGTGGAGTGAACTAAAATTAAACATAAATTTAATAATACAATTTTTTAAGCAATTTTTTTTATAACATAATCTAAATAAATATTTGAATTCAAATATTACAAAATATTTATTTAACTTGTGCTCAACGAGTCTTTAAAGACTCGAATTCGTCATAATAGACTCCAAGTAAAATTTTCAAACAAGGTCTCGTACGTTCATACAATTAGTAAGAAATTCATCTGCCATCGTGCTATGTTTTAACACGTTTTATATTTGATTTTTTTTTTATTTTAAAGATTGAATTATTGTAAATTTTGTTTGTGGTTTTATTATATAAATCAATTTGAAATTATAACACTTACCCATCTATATTTGTTTTATTTAAATCTGTAGTAAGTTAGTAACCTTTGATTATTGGATTTACATGTTTTCTTTTATACTAATACTCCTTGTCTACTAGAGATTAAAATCATAAAATTTTCATAGTTTATAATGCCAAAGATTTTTTTGTTTGTTTGTTGAATACTTTATAGATAAATACAGGAGCTCTGTTTATTTTTCATAATAATTTTAAAGTATTGAAATTATGAATTTATTCTATATATATAATTTCAGAACTGTCTCTACAACAATTTTATCTCAAAATATGTTTTACTTCATATCATAATACTCATCATTAATATGACTTGTTAGGTTTGGGCCTTTATTTTATGTGGCTTAGCTGACTTGGGCTTTAGGTGAGCTAATATTAATAATATTATATATTTTTTGGGCTGGGCTAAAAATACCATAGTAATTAAAAAAAAAACTTGGGATGGGCTGGAGCCCAGCCCAGCCCTACACTGGATCCACCAGTGGTCTTAATCGAACTTTTTAATGTCTCGATCTATCAAACCCATGCAATATTCAATTGACATAGTTGCCAACCGTCCGAAGAAGAAAAAGCTCAAGGGCATCGATTGAAGGAACTAAGAGTTAGATCAACTGAAACATTTTTAACTCATAATTCAATTTCCTATTTGAGTTTAATTTATTTTCTTATAATATTATTATAGTCAATATTAAAATGTTTTTCAATAGAAAATACACCAATATATTTTATTATAGAATAGTTTTCTCATATTATTTTAGTTTACTTGGAAACAAGTTCTCAACTCGGATAATAAGTTTACTTGGAGACCAAAAACTTAATGTGGAATGTTCTCTATAAATATAAAGTCCGAAAATACAAGCCTAGAGTGCTTACGTTTCCGCGCGCAATCATTCTTGTTTTACGTATTTATTTATTTTTCCATAAGTGTTATGTGTGAGTGTTCGATTTGTGTGTATCATAAGAGAACCCGTGTAAGATATTATCTTCTGAGATTGAGTGCACCACACTAGATATATCATATCGTGTTCTTATATTATTCATTCATATCATTATACATTAGATATGGTGAATATGATGTTATTTTTGCGTTAATATTATTATTGTGGTATGTGTCATACAATGTCAATAATTCAAAGAAATACCTGGTAACTTTATATTGATGAAAATGATTTGAGAGTGATAAAAAACATGTCAACCATTTTAATGAAACTTTCGAAATAACAAACATGTCTTTTATATCTGAGAGAAAAAAAAAATGTCAACCGTGTTTTAAAAACAAACCGTTGAAAAAATCTCGAGTGATTCTCTCTCTTCTGAGATCTAAAGATGTTAAAAAATACAGTTCTCAAACGCTAACACATAAAGCCAAATGGAAATGATACTTTTCTTTTTCACTTATATAAAAGTGAAAGCAAAAGCTATGACTTACTTTTCTTTAATTTCTTTTCCTTCCATTTATTTCCAACCAGTTTGGACCTAGGTGTGAGAGAGAAATAAAAGAAAGTGATGAGAGAAAAGAAAAGAAGAAAATGATAGTGTTAACTTATAAGTGTGTTAGTTGATTAGCTAAAGCAAAGAAAGAAAAATATAATTACCATATAAGCTTCTATCATGCATGAAAAAGTTAACGAAAAGAAAAGAAATAATTGGTTTATTTGTAAAATTATAAATATATAATGTAAAATTAGAATTCACTTGTTATCAACTAGAACTTTTGTTTACTAATTTTTTGGACATCAAAATACAGGCGAGAAAAAAAAAAAAAAAAAAAATGGGTTGGGCTTAGCGTTTCAAATCAGATTGGGTTTGCCAACTTGAAAAGTTGGATTTTACAACCCATATAAATTGCTATTACTTGACCCAAGCCTCTTATTCCAACTCCAATGGTAAATTCAAACGAATTTATTTTCCGCCTTTGAGAGAGATAACTGAGAAGCGAGGAGAGATATAATAAGGCAAAGGACGAGAGAGAGAGAGAGAGAGAGAGAGAGAGAGAGAGAGAGAATGGAAATGAAGAGTCCTCCACCGTGCCCAAACACAGTGACTGTCCGGCGAAACCCTCCCCGGAAAGCGAGGGCCACACCGTCGACCTGTGTTCCCCTTCCGATACCACTCTCTTCTCCCTCAATCCCACAAGACATCCCTTCCTTTCCCATTCAAGATATTCTCTCAATCCAAGTCCCTCAAAACCCTAACATTCTCTCAATCCAAGTCCCTCAAAACCCTAATTCAGACCTCTCTACCGCCTCACAATCATCATTGTCCGAAGCTCCACTTTCCGAGAATTTCAAAGTTTTCTTGAGAATTCGACCCCTCACATCGAATCTGAGTTCTGAAAAGCATAGCAAGAAAGGAGCTCAAACTTGCAAGTCGCGTACTAAGAACGCTTGGCCTCAAAACCCTACAACGAGAAACGCCTCGAAGACGAAGATTAAGAAAAAAAGCGAAATTTGTGTCACAGTGAATGATTCCAACTCTGTGACACTTCGTCCTCCACCGGCTATGCAAGATGTTAAACGCATTAAATCTGAGGTTTATGAAGGGTTTTCTCATGTCTTCACAGCCAATTCGTCTCAGGTTATTGGCCTTTCTCTTCCGCCTTCCTTCATTGGAATTTGATTTAACAAAAGAATTATAATTTAAGTTTGATTGCAGGGTGAAGTGTACGTGAAAATGGTGAATCCGTTGGTTGAAGACTTTATGAGGGGTAAGAGTGGGATGTTGGCTGCAATGGGGCCAAGTGGCTCCGGCAAGACGCATACGGTTTTTGGGTGTCCGAGGGAGCCTGGTATGGTACCTCTGGCACTTCGTCGGATTTTTTCGCTGGCCCAGGACAGTGGAATTCAGTCGTCGAGGTAGTTGATGATATTTTGAACTCCTTCAAACTATTTTTGTTCCATTTGAAAGTCCTCAATGGCATTGTTAGGAATCGTTCATTGTGTAAATAAGGAAATGTAAAGAGTAGGAAAATTAAAGACTAGTAGCATAACTTATTTTGTTTTTGAATGAATGAAGTGCTCTCCTCATAATGTTATATATACAGGTCATTCTACCTATCAATGTTTGAAATATATTCGGAGGGAGGAAAAGCGGAGAGAATGGTCGATTTATCTCAGGACGGAGGTGATCTATGCTTGCAGCAATCGATGATCAAAGGGCTCCAAGAGGTTGACAATTGTTTCTTTTTTAGTCCTAAGTTTTTAGTTGTAATAGCATGCTTCTTCTTTTGATGTATATCTGAATGAGATACTGATGATTGTGCATGTACTTGGTACATTTATGCAGGTCATCATTTTTGATGTTCAGCAGGCTGAATCTTTAATTGCTCGTGGAATGTTAAAACGTGCCACAGCTATGACGAATTCAAACAACCAGTCCAGGTATATTGCAGCTAAACTACCATTTGTGTTTCCATAGCTATGATATTTATCAGTGATATAAAATATACACACACATTACTTATCAAAAAAATAAATAAATAAATAAAAACGCATACAAAATTTTTATTAGGGCATTCAACCATTAATTTAATGGATTTTGCAGGTTCCATTACGGGGTTAAGATTTATTTTGACGAGTGAGGATGTTTAAATCCGTTTAGCGAAGGCTTTTCTCTTGATAACGGCTTAGATGTTTTGAAGGATCTTAGTTTCATTGAATCATGGGTTTTCCCCCCTTCTCTTGATAACAACTTCTGCTTGTCATTGAATATTTTAAATGTCAGTTTGAAATTTGAATGGAAATATGAACTGCAAAATATGGCATTTATTTCTACACAGAATTAATTCAAACTCAACTATTACGGAAGTAGCAGCTCTGAACAGGACGTTGATTTAATTTATTTTGGCAAACCTGCCTAAGCTATCGATGCTTTGGGTTTTTTGGCTTTGCAATAAGTTTTCTTTTAGCTATACTTTTGTAACATTAGCCACTAGTTGAAGCCTGAACTTTGAACTAAGGGAAGAGTTGGTTGATTTTGCTATCATGTCTTGGCTTATTATTAAACAGTGAACTCTGTCCTAGGGGTTCATATTATATGTTCTGCACAATTTCTTTTTGAATTGATCTTCTATTATGAGATTGAGTGTAATAATATCTTATTATCTTTGACTTATAACTTTCATCTTCATAGAGTTTGAGAATACCTCTTGAAGGGGAAATCTTCTTAGTTTCCCAGACATTTTTTGATGCTGTTAACAGTTGTTAGAATTTTACATGTTGAAAGCAACGTCACAAAATGAAAAGTTTCTATGATTTTTTTTTTAATGTGCATAATCTACTGTTAGAATAAGTGGCTTTTCTTGCCATCCTCAAGGGAGAGGTGCAGGTTTCAAGTCTCTCTTGGGACAAGATATACGTGTCTTACTTACAAAAAATAATCTTAAATTATCATACTGGCTAAGTAAGTTAATCAATATTTCTCTGTTGGTTGTCATAAGTAGCACATCATACTTCATAAATGTCAATACTAATAATTAAGCTTGTAGTGGTGAACTTGAATAAAAAAGTTTAAAGCTTGTTTGGTTCAGTTAACTGAAAACAACCACAAAACACTGTTCTCTGACATTAGACTTTTTTTTAATGCAATTTTCAGAAAACAATTTAAAAAACTATCAACTACATGAATTCTTTACGGTTTTTTGTTATTTGGGAACAAAAAGCTATTCTCAGTAAATTGAACGAAGCAGGCCCTTAAGTGTACATCTACTCTTCAATTTATTATTATTATTAATTTTTTTTTTTTTTTTTTTAATGTTGCTATTAAGAAGTACATATAAATATTACTTATCAAAAAAAAAAGAAGTACATATAAATATCATATCTTTCTGTTTCTGTAAAAATTCTAGATACAATTTGTTTATCTTTAATGAACCATAGAGTTGTTTTTAATGGAAGTTGGATATATGTTCTTTTCTTTTCCTTTCTTGTTCGCTGCCTACATGATTCACTGCCCTTTAATGATGATTGATTTCCATGCAGTCGTTCACAATGCATCATTAACATCCACAGTTCTCCCAACAAGATGGATGGAGAAGTTGATGTTCAATCCCGAAGTGCTGTGTTGACTATTGTTGACCTTGCTGGAGCTGAAAGAGAAAAGAGAACTGGGAATCAGGTACGCGTCTTTTCTGTAATTTAACTGAATTGCGTTAATACTGTTAGTACTTGGAATATTCGTGGTTCATCAGCTTGGCACCTGAATTTTCTACAAGCGAAATGGATGCAAATATTTCATCAATATGTACTTTATGGCATTTGTGCAATGGACCGTGTCAATATGAAAAATTCTCATATATGCAGCTGTCCAAAAATTCATGTTCGAGGAAAGAACGTCATTTGAGGGTCAATGATTGGCATTTGTCCTCATGGGTTGTGCCTGATTTTTATCCCTATTGATGATAAATTTTTTTGATGTTGTTCTATGCTAATCTGAATTATGTAGCCTTAGTTTGAGTTGATTCTATTTCAGTGTGCCAAATCACATATAGGATTTAAATGAATTTATGTTGATTACTCAAAAAGACCTAATAGATTCTTTTCCAGCACATTATGAGAGAAACTTAAGATAGTCATATTTTTTTTATTGGGAAAATTACACTTACCTCTGACGATTAGTAAAGATACAGCTACCTCCCCCTTGTTTTTAGAAATTACGCTGAGATCCCCTGTTAGACTTGTCAGTTGACGATTTTAACAGATTCTGGGAATTTACTACTATAACCTCAAATTAAAATATAATATTTTGTTTGACTGTTCTGCTGTATACTGTTTGACTGTTATATCTATCATTCTGTATATACATGTATACATTCCCTATACCACACGCACACACACACATACATATATGTGCCTACATGCAAAGCATGTTGAACTCTGGTCCACAGCGAACCCTTCAGACCTTCCATGATTACCATGAGAGAGAGAGAGAGGCTGATTGCTGTAGTTTTTTGACACTCACATTAAGCTTACACTGTCATGATATTATTGTCCTTAAATGCTAAGCTGAATGTCATCATCAATGGCAAATATAAGGCCCAATCTATTCCTCTCTGCGAACATCGCCATTTTTTCTTCTTTGTCAAAATCTAATCTGTATGTACATAATTACGTCACCCTCTTCACTTTCCCCTTCTTGTACTTGTATGTTTCACAATATACTAATTGCAGAGGAGAATATAACAATTTCTACTGGAGAGACAATCGAAGGTTTGGACCATGTGGGGATTGTCGTGTGTGTTGTACTTCAGCTCACCCAAGATTTTGGAGCAGATCGGACCGCCCAGAGAGAAAATAGCTGAAGAAGGGAGAGACTGGGGTTTGGATTAGTATTATAGTCAATAGCAATTGGATAGAACAATGATCTATCCAGGTAGTCATCATTGGATGGATAATGTGAATGAAAGTCTCACTCTCCATTAATTCTCGTAAATTAAGTGCAATGGAGTGTTTGTATATCATTTGAAGGCTCTATTTAGATAGGCAGAAATTTTATTGGACTTTTTAATTAGAGAGTTCTGGAGAGAGTCTCAGACAAGTTTTAGAAAGTGCAAGTAGCTTGTTTGGGAAAATTTGCAGTCAATGGAAGGGTATAATAGTCTTTTTACTTTTTTGAAGGGAAAAATAGGTCTTTTAAAATGTTTGGATGCTGGTGTCATCCGTTTTAGATGGTAAAACCGTTTTACCATCATGGCAAGGGGTTCAATGTAATGCAAAAGTAAACGTTAGGGGGTTGTGGTGTAAATTTTGAAAACACAGGGAAACACAGTGTAATTTTCACTTTCGTGAGGGTTGGTGAGTGTAATTTTCCCTTCTTTATTTATATCGATTTCATTGTGGAATTAAGGTATCATTGAATATAATCCAGTCATTTTATTTTTACTTGAGTGAAGTTGTCAAAATAAATTGTTCTATCTTGTTTGAGTTATGTAAAGCTCTTAAACTTTGGAGATATTGTGTTTAGGAATCAAGCAATGAAGCAGAACTGCAAAGCAGAGGGATACAATTTGTGTTTCCGCTTTCCACTTTTCTCTTTTGGTTCTCCATTTCTCTTTTTGTTTCTTGGCTCTTCATCTCAGAATGTCCTTTTTTAGTTTCTGCTTGCTTGTAAGGATTCTTCTTGAAACTATGTAATGGACATCAATTTGTTTACAATTATATTGAAATACTAATATTAAAACCTCTAGAAATTTTATCGTTGAGATCCCTACCTTCTATAGGTTTTAGCATGATATATTGGCATGTATTTGCCAAAAACTTTAAAAAACTGAATTCATGATCTTGAAACAGTTAAAGACCATTAATTAAGGAAGTATGGCCATGTTCTAGGTGGTTGTTTTTTGACCTCAGGTGGCCCTTATTTGTGTGGTGCTTTTGCTTTCTCACATCTGGAACTGTCTGGTGAACATTTGACCCTTTTCTCCAAATCTTTATTGTTTCTGTAGTTGTGGTGTTATCTGAAAGTTGTGTTTTTCTAGTGCACTGACTCCATTTTATTGCATCAAATAATGTATTAGAGGAGTGTAGCACATTGCAAGGGAACATGCACATTCTTGCCTGTGTATGGTCACATTGCGATTTGCGATGGGTGTACAAGGTAACGTTGAAACAGTTTTGCTCTATGGTTTTTGTCTAATTTGGGCCAAACATGGACTGAAAATGTTTTATGGATATTCAAGAAGTTCAAGGAAGTTCCAATATGAATTAACTAATGTGATGTATTTAGTTTGCCAATTATCTTTGCTCGTATTGCTAGAATAGCCGTTCCAAAAGTTCTTCTCATTTTTTTTTTCCTTTCATTTATATCTTATATTGTAGATTCAATGAAATGAAAATTTTATACCTTGTTCATTTTGATGGAGGTTGTAATCTCTCACCTTTGAAATATACCTTTGATTTGTTTATTATTAATTTTTCCAAGTTGTGTTTCGTTTAAACTTTCCAGGATGAATGGGTGAAGAATTATCACAATTTTCCTAATTTATCGTTTGTAATCGAAGAAATCTTCTTTTCATGTTGCACATATCAAGGATGGTTTCATTGTTTTACAGGGGGCTAGATTGCTTGAGAGTAATTTCATCAACAACACATCAATGGTTTTCGGTCTGTGCTTGAGGGTATGTAGCTTAAAAATTGTATATGGATTCTGTAATGTTTGAGCAAAAAAAATATTTTCTTTATTTCTCACTTATGTTTCCTTTAGGTTAAGTCTCTCTCTCTCTCTCTCACTCTCTCTCTCTCACACACACACACACACGCACATTTGCATCTGTCTTTATGTTTTGATGTCCCACTGATTACTCTCTCCATTTTCAGTCATTGTTGGAGCACCAGAAGAACCCCAAGAAGCCATTGCAGAAGCACTTCCAAAGTTCCTTGGTGATGATGCCTTTCGTTTGGTCTTCTTGTTACTAGTCCTTTCTATTTTTCCTTTTCATTTCTCCCCCCCCCCCCTTGAGTATGTGGTACCCGTTGGTTGTTTCTTAGTACTGAGTTAATGCAACAATTCTTTTTAGATTATATATGTTCTTTTGAACTGATGTATTTTGTAGCGTATGTGGAAGAAAGACTTGACTTCAAATTTTTTGTTTGAACAGTTAACCAGATACTTACGAGACTATATGGAGGGCAAGAAGCGGATGTCTTTGGTATGCAGTTTTATTTCCTGTATAAATTTACTCATGATCAATATTTTACTCTCCGATTTGATGTCGAAATGAAACTCATATGAATCTTTGTGTTATTCCTACTCTCAACCATTTTACATTTTCTTTAATTTGTATAATATAATGAACATGTCATATTGGTTATTTACAATTTTTTTTTTTCCAGATCTTAACTGTTAAATCAGGAGAAGATGACTATGTTGATACATCCTTTTTGCTAAGACAGGCTTCACCTTATATGCAAATTAAGTATAGCATTCTTTTTTTCTTCTCTCTCCTTTCTTTTTCTTTTTCATTTTAACAGCCACTCAGCCAATATCCTTTAATTTCTGAGCATTATATACGACTTTCTGACAACATTATTCACTCATGTAGGTTTAATAATGTTGAAATGCTCGATTCACTTTGTAATAAGAGGCGCTTTCATACGTCTAAAAGGGAGCAGCTCAAAAGAATGAAGTTTAGTAGCCTCGAAGCGTGTGTGGTATTTTATTGTGCCCTTTTTTTAATACAAAATTTTTGTATGCTCCATCTCTTAGATCAAATATTCGGCTTTTTCGGCAGCAGTATTCTACTACGAGTAACTGAATTAGGAAATTTTTGTGTTGTCATTTTGTGTCATGTAACACTGCAAGTAACTGAATTAGGAAATTGTCTACTCAAATTTATGGTCACATACTGATACCGTTTAAGTTTTAACCAAAATAACAATCTATTAATTTTAAAAGTTTAGGAGGCGGAGCTCTTCAGTTTTTTAATGATCTTATATCATGTCATGTTTTGCAACAATTAAATTAGGTGAGTACCAAAACGATAATAAAGTTCTGTTCTAATGATTTGAGATTGGTCACAAAAGTCCTATTTCACCATTTCACACTGGCCATAACTTCAGTTAAACCATAGGTTGCTTATCTTTCTATACAATCTCAGATTTTCAGCGCCTATTACTTTTATCTTTCGCTTCCCCTGGAGTTACCCTCGACCTAGTGCTACTTCTTCTACAGGGGGAAGAATAGAGATAGACCTAACCTTCGATGTTATTTTTGAATGAAGTGGCCACTCAGACTCAAGTCAGTGTTCCGACAGTTGCCAGTTCAAGCTTTTCTTGCAGACTTGCACTAAGCAATACTGGTGGCTACTGAATAATCTCACTCTTTTTAATGGGTATTCATTATTATAGATAATATACCATTGTTAAGTCAATACAATTCACAATATTGTTCCTATCTTCAGATTCGTCTCCAACAGGCACCATCTCTTGCGTACCTATATGATTACTAAAGTTTCCTTAAATAACTTTTTAATTTTGCGGTGTTGTAATAAATCATCCATGTGTGTTCAAAGTGGTGTTCTAGACTTCTAGTGTGATCATCTAATCCTATTTGGGATGTATAAGCGCCAATCATATGTACTATATTTTCTTCCAATACAAATGTTATTAATATTATCTTATAAAGTCTCCTGTAGAAAATAAATGATCATTTGGTGGCCTTGAAATGTTTCATCCACGTGTTTCCAAAACCGTGCTTTAGCGTGTTCATCTAGTCTTTTTATTTTTTTATTTTATGTGTTAGTGCCAGTATTATGTAATATATTTTCTTCCAATATAAGTTTTATTAATGCTATGTTACACCCACCCCCCCTTCTTTTGTTATGATTAGAATTTGTTCTTTTAAATTCTTCTTAACTATTACACACACGTCCTTTCTATATCTATCTGTGTGTAGTAGAGTTTGTATCCTGTATTTATAATATTTTACTTTTGTTCTTGCTTAGTTTCTTGTAGGCATTACTATATTAACTCTCCTTATGATCAGTCTCTACCAACTATAATCCTTTACCCAACAATGTTAGTATATTTCATGGTTCCAACCTAAGTCTACTTTTTTGGACTACCTTCTTTACCTGTGCCTCTCTAGCATAGAGGAGAAATTGTTGTCTTCCATTGACTTGCCCATTTATCAAATCACCTGAAAGTTGATGCAACTTGTTGCTCAAGAGGAGTATTATTTAAACCCAAGCAACCCTCCTTTTTTTGAGGTTGGACGTGTTTGTTTTATAAGACTACATGTTGTAAAAATAACCTTTTATTTCTAAAAATAGGAGGTAAAGACAAGTTCAAAGCATAATGGTGTTTAATAAGAGGGGGAAATTATCTAATAGCTTATGCTGTTCCCCACATCCTGTGATGTTGTCCTCAAGGAGCCTTGTTAGTAGTGTAGACTTCCAATTCTTAAATTTAGTCCCCTGGTTGTGTTTCTGAGTGGATACATGTCATTACCCGAGCCAGACTGCCTTAATTTACTCCCCATCAGTGGTAGATACGCTTTCTTCTTTGTGAAAAGTTGAACTGGTTTGGTGAAAAACCTGCTATTCTGCAGTCCTTTTGGGCTGTCAAAATTTCTATGGACCACTTTAATCTCATCATTTTATCTAACCTAGTCAAAGGTACTCAACAAATTTGTATCTCAACAATTTCACCTTTCTATTGCCATGTTGCTTTATTTGAAGTTGCATTTTAACACTGAATTTTATCAATGCAAGTACTATTAAAATTTTTTGCCCTGCATTTGTTCCAAGCTGTACCGAGCAAGTGGCATTAGAATGTTTTTCTATAGACTAGTGCCAATACAAATAATGTTGCAATTTGTTAATATTGCGGACAACAGTTTATTTTCTTAGTCCTCTTTTTGTATATAATAGCTGCATCTTCCTCTAAAAATTTTATGTGCGCTCATGCACTATGTCTGGAATGGAAGTTATATGAAAGAACTATTTATTTCACTTATATGAAACAAGTGTTTAATTTTTATTATCCAGCTCTGTCATATGATATAAATTTGAAGTTTAATAATATATTTTAATCAATCTTGTGGTAAGCCGATGCGCTTCTAATTGTTAGTACAACAATGCTAAGCTGTAGACATATTTTCTCTGGTTTCAACTTTTTTATGCTAGTTGGCGATGCCATCTTGGCTATAATATGTATCTAATATGCTAGGTGGATTTTCCATTATGTATTCTCGTAGTAGCGTGTAAATGGGGAAAACATGTTTCATGTCTTATCATGACTTGTTCCCTTTGTCAAGTCAATTCTTTAACAACTGAATGGATTTCCCGCCATCTTAGAATACCACAGACTGCAATCTTTTACTCTGGTAATCTGTGTGACTCAAAATTGTTGGTTTTCGGTTTTGCAGATATCATTTTTGGTCGCTACAGTAGTTTTATGTGCATTCTTTCTCATTCATATTAATTTTATTCTTTTTCTTCAGATTGATGAAGGGAAGGATGCTGGAGACAAAAGCCAACTTCATGAAGAAGGTATTTAAAATTGTACCTATAGTTTTTGCCACATGCTTCTTCAGCTTTTACCACTTAGTCATTCTTTTACTTCTTTGGTTTCCAATAAGGGGAACACATCATATACTTTGCTTGATTGAAACAGAGCTAATTCCAGTTCAGATTAAGGAGGTTGAGCCTTCGAAAGTTTTGGATTATTTGCCAAGAGTTATTAATTTGGAAACAACTGATGGGGCATCCCTAGCGGAAGACTGTATTGAATTTGCAAAGAGGGATAGGGAAAATCAGATTATGCAAGGTTTTGCTAAAGCTTTGTGGAATGTCTTGAAGCAATATAAGAACAAACTCGAGGTAATGATTGGTGCTCATAGCCTCATACATATCTTGAGTTAAACCTTGTCATAAATTGACATTTTTTTTCCTTGCTGTATTTAAGTTTGTGTAAGGTGCCTTTCCTGATGCTTTGATATGGTTATGGACGTACTAGAAAATCAGAGAAATATATTAGATAACTTCGCATTTAAACAGGTGTCTGAAAATGAAATCCAGTCTCTCAGAAAAAGCCTTGCCAATGAAAAGGACAGGTGTTCTGATTTGGAAAATCAAATGAGGAATTTGAAGCCCTGCTGTTCACGTGGGAAGGAAGTTTCAGTGGAGGTGCCACTGGTTAAAGTTGATTCTAGAACTTATGCAACCCCAGAACTGGAACACTGCCAATCTACTGATGTGAATGAGGTATTGAAATGGCAATTTTCTCCAACAATAGGTTCCTGATCTTTTTCTTCTTCTTTTTATTTTATTTTATTTTTATAAATGGAAACATTCCTTTTTTTAATTGTTTGCTTCTTGTTACATTTAACTTACTTGTTTAGCTTATAATACTTGTATAGTTTTGTTCTATGAATTTGCTTATATTTTGGGATATTTATTTCTCACGCTTAGTAAATTGTGGGTGTTTTATGTCTCGACCTTCTGATATCTGCATGCAAGGTCAGCCTTGGAAAACATGATTCCATTATGGGCAGGAACTAAAGAAATTGTTTTTGCTGGTTCACATTTTAACCCAGAAAATTTCTTCTACTCTTACTCCCATTTATTCGAGTCCTTTCAATGCTATTACGGAAGGTTCTCCCAGTCAGTATGTTAAGTCAATTCTTCCTACTGCTATTATAAAAAATATGCAATGAGGTTGATTTTTCATGATTGTACATCAAAATAGACATTTAGACTATTATGTAATGAAGTATGATTTATACGTGGATGTGGTGATTAAAGTGCATAATTACAATAATGTCTCCTATTTGCTGCGTATGTGTAGTTTTTTGTTTGGATCTCTGTGCTCAATTCCTCTTTTAGTGGTATGTTAAATTGTACATTTTTTTAAGTTAGATTTCTGTTCAGGTAGGAGCAGGAGTATCTTCTATAAACCTTAAGAAATCAGAGTTCATTGACAGTGACCAAATATGTGATACCGCTGTAAGGCAGATACCTTCTTTCCTCTTCTGTTGGTTTGGAAGTACCCGTTATGAAAGTGCTGAGGATTTTTTTCCCTTAATGGTCAGGCAAGTAATTCTGATGTGGTTGCTGCTTCATGCCTTGGTGTTGAAAAGTTCGGGCAGGCCTATCAGGTACTTCATGAGGCTTGAACTCAGGAAATGGTTTATATTAATTAGATATATGTTTATGTAGAATTTGATGATTTAGGGTAAAAGTTGACTGAATGATTTCATTACCCAGAGTAGAGTATTTATCATTTTACAGAGTATGTACAAGTAAAGAATCACAAAAAAAGGTAAGAATTGTCCTAACTAAATTAATGCAGAGAATCAAGCCATGAATCAATCAGTAACGTCCTCCTTGAAATCTTCCTTCAAATCTGTTTGATTTTGAATACTTTCCTTTTCATTCCCCCGCAAAATTTTGGTGGGAAAACACAACAGTTTGGAGCAATGACGAAAGAAGGAAGTTTGTGGAAGTCCTTTGGTGATGATGTCAGCCACTTGTGAAGGGGAACGAACAAATTTAACTTGAAGCTCACGAGCAACAACTAAGTCACGAACAAAGTGGTAGTCAACTTCAATGTGCTTTGGACGCGCATGAAAAACTGGATTTGCAGCCATGTGAGTAGTGCTAAGGTTGTCGCAATGTAACACCATAGGAGATGTGTTGTCAGGGGCTTATTTGTAATTTCTGAAACTTGTTATTATAAATAGAATGTGGTGGAAGGATGAAAGGATTCTGAAGGAAAAAAAGGGTAAAGTAATCCCTTATTTCATTCATTCTGGAAACCGTAGGGTACAAAGAATTTATAGGAGAAAAATACAACTAACCTATAATTAAATCTCCTTAATTCTAGCAGCTAATTACAGGAAAGTAGATCAAATCTAATAACTAACAGATTTGAAAAGAAAAAAACCAAGTAACCAAATCTCCTACTTTCTATATTCACAAATTCAACTTAACTAAAATAAAAATCTCTTCCCTAGAAAATAGGGATCTAAATCCGGAAGTCAACAGATTCTTTCTCTCTTTCCCCATCTCTCTCTCTTTTTCTCTCATCCACTTTCTTATCTTTTTCTTCTTCTTCTTCTTTATCACTTACTCTTGATTTGATTATATCTTAAAGTCAACATGGTATCAGAGCATGGTTTGTAAAGCTGTAGGTGTGCACTTGAAACCCTAGGGCAAGTTTGTGTAGACCCTAGTGGGTGTGAAGGGTTTTGAAGAGATTATAAGATGGGATTTGTTTGCAAGGAAGTAGTGTTAATCACATCTACACGTACCACGGATCCAACTCTGCGGTGAGTTGGCTAGGGGGCAGCGTGCCGCTGCTCTGGGGCGAGGCCCCGAAATATTTTTTTTGGACCTATTTTTTTATCTATTGCAGTCTTGATTGGTGTTTCTTTTGTGTTTGCGAGGTTCTACAACATCGGCTTTTTCTTTGTCGTTCACGATTCTGGTACAGTCTACTTTTTTGCTTTCTAGGGTTTGTGTGGCGACTGTGTGGTCGCTTTTTTATGCGTCTCAGAAGACGGTAATCTTTCTAGTTAAAGTTTGTGTATTAGAGAGGTGGTTCTCTACGTATTTTGTTGCTGCTTTTGTTTCTGAGGATTATATACCTAGAAACTGTTTGATAAAATGTCTCGCTCAGAGGTGACTTCAAAAGAAGCTGGGTCTTCTCCCAGTCTGACTCCAGTATTGGGAGGTAGTAGTGATCACCATCCAAGCCTTTGTATTACGACTGTTAGGCTAGATGAGACAAACTATATGGAGTTGGCTCAATCTGCTCGTATGCATATCATTGGTCGTTGGATGATTGACTATATCGAAGGGACTGCCACGTATCCCTCCAAGAGTGATCCTGAATTCAAAGAGTGGAGTGCAAATAATGCACTAGTTATGACATGGTTGTTGCAGTCAATGCAGCCACAGATCAGCAAAGGGTTTCTGTTTGTGAAAACAGCTAAAGAGTTATGGACGGTTGTGGAAGAGACATATTCCTCGGTTGGTAATTTTGCAAAACTATATGAACTTTAACAATAGATTTCAAGATTCAAGCAGGAAAGCCAAACTCTTGCTACATATTACCATACTCTACGTGGTAAATGGGAAGAGCTAGATCACGACCAAGACTACATACCTGTGTGTGCAGCTGATGTTAAAGCATTTCATGCTATGGTAGAAAGGAATCGAATCTATGAGTTCTTGGGTGGTCTGCATCCGAGATACGAGCATGCCAGGGTTCAAGTGTTAGGCAGGTATCTTGCCCCTACTTTTGTTAGAGATGTGTTTTTCGTATATCCAGGCTGAGGAGAGTAGAATGAAGGCTATGTCTGCACCTATATACACTAAGCTTGAGCCAGAAGTACCATTGTCTGAGAGGTCTGCTCTTGCCACACAACAATGGAACAAGCCTAATCCTCTAAAAGGAGGGAAGCAGGATGATAAGAGCAAGTTGAGGTGTGATCACTGTGGGTGTACATGCCACACTAGGGAAACATGCTGGAATCTACACGGTCGCCCTACTCCAGCTCCTACTCATGCGAATGCTAGGCCATGGCCTGGTCTATTTAGGGGGTTATCTACGGCACATACTGTAGAGTGTGAGACTGCTTCTACTGGTCATGCCTCCTCAGGGCCACCAAGTTCTTTGTCTGGGGCTGAACTTAATGCTCTCCGACATCTATTAGTACAACATTCCTCCATTTCCACCTCTAACTTCGCTCAGACAGGTACCTCTCATTCGGTATATCAGGTTTCCACATTATCTGGTGGGCCACCCTAGATCATTGATTCAGGAGCCACTGATCACATGACTGGTATGACATCTGATTTTTCTTCGTGCAGTTTATGTTCTGGTAAGGATAAAGTTAGAGTGGCTGATGGCGCCTTCACCTCCATTGTGGGGAAGGGCACTGTTTTTGCCTCTCCTAATCTTACCTTATCCTCTGTTCTTCATGTCCCAAAGTTTACCAATAACCTTCTTTCTGTCAGTCACATTACAAAAGGCTTGAATTGTAGTGTAACATTTTTTCCATCTCACTGTGTGTGTCAGGACTTGGACACGAGGAAGATGATTGGATGTCGACGTGAGGATAATGGCTTGTATTTGCTGAACGCGAGGCCAACTTCTTTTTATGTTGCAAATCAATCTAGTGTTAGGAATAGTAATGTCAATAAAGATCTGTTAATGCGATGGCATAACAGACTAGGTCATTTACCTCTTCCTGTTTTGAAGCATGTGCTTCCCCAGTTTGTTCTGTTGAATTTTTTGAGTTAAATTGTGAAACATGTGTTCTTGCCAAACAATGTCGTGTTTCTTATCCTACTAGTATTAATAAAAGAACAGCTTCTTTGCAGCTTGTTCATTCTAATGTGTGGGGTCTTGAATCTACTACTTCGTTACTTGGTTTTCGCTACTTTGTTATGTTTGTTGATGACTTTAGTCGATATACTTGGTTTTATCTTATGAAAACCAAAGATGAAGTTCATTCCATTTTTAAAACCTTTTACAGGATGGTATGTACTCAGTTTGGTTGTCCCCTCAAAATCCTTCGATCTAATAATGGAGGAGAGTTTATGTATGGTGGTCTTGCCTCATTTTTTGTTGATAACGGGATTGTCCATCAAACCTCTTGTGTCGATACACCACAACAGAATAGTGTAGCTAAAAGAAAACACCGTCATATTACGGAGGTGATCCGTTTTCTACTAATTGGGATGGGAGTGCCTAAAAGTTATTGGGCTGATGCAACCTTAATAGCTACATACTTTATCAATCGCATGCCTTCTAAGGTTCTTGGCTATCAATCCCCCTTCTCTGTCTTACACCATGACATTGCTTTGTTTATTGTCCCTCCGAAATTGTTTGGTTGTGTTTGTTATGTTCACATTCATAATCGTAAGGACAAAATGGACCCTAAGGCAATCCGATGTGTCTTCCTTGGATACTCTGCCATTCAGAAAAGGTATCGGTGTTATAACCCTGCCATTCATCGTCGCTTTGTCTCCATGGATGTTACATTCTTTGAGTATGTTCCTTTTTTTTTCCACTGCTCGGGATTCTCTACAGGGGGAGACTACTATACAGGTAGAGAATCCGTTGTCCATTTAGAGTGAATGCCCCCTTCCTTTGCCTGTTCTCATTCAGGGGGAGCTTCTTATTGAGGTGCCCATGTCTAGTCCCAACACTAATGATTTGCAGCAGGGAAAGCAGCCAATTGTCTACACTAAGAGGGCAAAATATGTCATTGACTCACCCTAGGACCAAAAAGTCTCCCTTGATCTAGGTAATTCCTTAATTGACATTGATACTCCTGATTCTTTCCCCAATAGCATTCCTGTTGATATTGATGTCCCTATTGCCTATCGTAAGGGTGTTCGCAGTTGTACAAAACATCCCATATCTCAGTTTTTATCTTATGATGCCTTATCTCCAACGTATCGTGCTTTCACTTCGTGTATCTCCTCTGTTTAAGTTCTTTCTTGTGTTTCAGATGTTCTCAGTCAAACTCCATGGAAGAAAGCCATGCTTGAAGAAATGAAGGCCCTCGAGAAGAATGGTACTTGGGATATTGTTCCATTACCCAGGGGTAAGAAACCAGTAGGCTGCAAATGGGTCTACACAATAAAGTATCATGCAGATGAAACAATTGAGAGATATAAAGCTTGGTTAGTTGCAAAGGGCTTCACTCAGACCTATGGAATTGATTATCTGGAAACATTTGTTCCAGTTGCCAAGATGAACTCTATACGTGTTCTTCTTTCTTTGGCAGCTAATTTGAATTGGCCCTTACATCAGCTGGATGTAAAGAATGCTTTCCTTCATGGTGACTTGGAAGAAAAGGTGTATATGACTATGCCACCAGGGTTTAAGCTTGCCAATGGTAAGAATTTAGCTAAATAAAACTTTATATGGGTTATAACAGTCGCCACGTGCTTGGTTTAAGAGGTTCAGCACTGCTGTGAAAAGAGTAGGGTACACACAGAGTCAGGCAGATCATACTCTCTTTATCAAGAAGCACTAGGGCTGTACCACTGCCCTTATTATATATGTTAATGATATTGTTATCACTGGAAATGATCCAAAAGAGATTCGTCGAATGAAGTCATTCTTAGGGAAAGAGTTCGAGTTTAAAGACCTCGGATCATTGAGATACTTTGAGGTGTGTAGATTGAAGAAAGCAGTGTTCATTTCTCAACGGAAGTATGTGTTAGATTTGTTGGCTGAAACAAACAGGCTTGGAGCTAGACCTATTGATATTCCCATTGAGCAGAACCATAGACTTAATGATGTAGATGGAGACCCATTAGATGATGTGGGACAATTTCAGCGATTGGTTGGGAGACTGATTTACTTATCTCTCACGCGCCCGGATATTGCCTACGTTGTTAATGTGATTAGTTAGTTTATGTATGCTCCATGTACACCTCACCTTGAGGCAGCTCATCATGTTCTTCGCTACCTTAAGGGTTCACCTTGTAAGGGGATATTGTTTGGCAATCATGGCCACTTGCGTATTGAAGCCTATACTGATGCTGATTGGGCAGGGCTTGTGACAGATCAACGATCTACTTCAGGATATTGCACATTTGTTGGAGGTAATCTTGTTTCATGGCGAAGCAAGAAACAGTTTGTAGTAGCTAGATCTAGTGCAGAGGCTAAGTTTAGATCCATGGCACATGGAGTATGTGAGTTGTTTTGGCTACGTACGATGTTGGGTGAGTTGGGTTATCCTGTTCGCGAGTCAATGAAGTTGTATTATGACAACAAGGTTGCTATTAGCATTGCCCACAATCCAGTTCAACATGACAGGACAAAGCACATTGAAGTCGATCGACACTTCATCAAGGAAAAGCTTCGTCTTGGGCTGAGTTGTACTCCATACGTCAACACACACGATCAGGTTGCTGATGTTTTGACTAAGGGTGTGAGCAAGATTTTCTTGCAAAATATGTTAGTCAAGCTGGGCATGATAGATATCTTTGCACCAGTTTGAAGGGGGAGTGTTGTCAGGGGCTTATTTGTTATTACTTATATAATGTTGGGGCTTATGTGTAATTTCTGAAACTTGTTATTATAAATAGAATGTGGTGGAAGGATGAAATGATTCTTTCATTCTTTCTCTCTTTATCCATCTCTCTCTTTTTCTCTCATCCACTTTCTTCTCTTTTTCTTCTTCTTCTTTATTACTTACTCGTGATTTGATTATATCTTAAAGTCAACAAGATGATAGGGGACAATTAGGTTCCTTAAGGAGATAAGAAAGCCATAACATTTCAGAGGCAGTGATAGCTAAAGCTTTATATTCAGCTTCCGTGCTAGAACGAGAGACGGTTGGCTGCTTTTTAGAATAAAAGTTGACTTAATGATTTCATTACACAGAGTAGAGTATTTATCATTTTACAGAATATGTACAAGTAAAGAATCACACAACAAAGGTAAGAATAAATTACAATTGTCCAAACTAAATTAATGCAGAGAATCAAGCCATGAATCAATCAGTAACGTCCTCCTTGAAATCTTCCTTGAAATCTTTTTGATTTTGAATACTTTCCTTTTCAGTTTATTTTGTTTTTTCTTTTGGGATCTTTCAGAATGGCTCAGAAATAACACATATGTGCTACAATGTATTGATCAGAAACATAAAAAGTTTCATGGAAATGTTGATAATGCTGAAGTTTTGAAGAATACACTAGATATGGGAAGAGAGGATACTTGTATCAATGATGATGCAACAGGTCTGACTATACATTTTTGTGTTCTACGCTTTTATGATTGCTTGTTCTTCAATTAATTTTGTTTATTCAAAGAAATAATATATGCTGCTTCTTGTGTCAGAGGATCATTTATCTGTCAGGGTCTTATATTGTATATATATGTCTCCTAAATAGTATTAATGACACTTTGTTGACTTCATACTGCATTTATCTTTTAGACTATGTATTCTCTTATCTGTTAATTGTCAGATTCAAGCCATTCTGAGTCGGTGGTCAGCTCGAAGAATACACTAGATATGGGAAGAGAGGATACTTGTACCAATGATGATGCAGCAGGTCTGACTATACATTTTTGTGTTCTACGCTTTTATGATTGCTTGTTCTTCAATTAATTTTGTTTATTCAAAGAAATAATATATGGAACTGCTTCTTGTGTCACAGGCTCATTTTTCTGTCAGGGTCTTATATTGTATATATATGTCCTAAATAGTATTAATGACACTTTGTTGACTTCATACTGCATTTATCTTTTAGACTATGTATTCTCTTATCCGTTAATTGACAGATTCAAGCCATTCTGAGTCGGTGGTCAGCTCGAAGAATACACTAGATATGGGAAGAGAGGATACTTGTACCAATGATGATGCAACAGGTCTGACTAGACATTTTTGTGTTTTACGCTTTTATGATTGCTTGTTCTTCAATTAGTTTTGTTTATTCAAAGAAATAATATATGGAACTGCTTCTTGTGTCAGAGGATCATTTATCTGTCAGGGTCTTATATTGTATATATATGTCCCCTAAATAGTATTAATGACACTTTGTTGACTTCATACTGCATTTATCTTTTAGACTATGTATTCTCTTATATGTTAATTGACAGATTCAAGCCATTCTGAGTCGGTGATCAGCTCTTCCCAGTCACATGTCATGATTAGAGATGACAACTATTCCACGGTGGTGGAGAATCAATTGCAGGATGAAGAGGACAAGGTTAACTTTGATGTTTTTGTTTTGAATCATAACAATACTCTAATACTGGAGAACTTCATGAATATGTTTGTGTGTTTCCTTGTTTCTCTTTAATTATATGGTTGGCTTAGCTTCTGCTGTAAAATGTCCAAGCCGATCACATGATTTAGAAATTAATCTTTTTGGTTTGATACTACACTATGTGAATGAAAGAAATTTTTGGGATTTCTTTTCCAGCACACAAATAAAGCAAAATTGTAATGATTACAGATTATCTGGATATTTCACTATCAACAGATAACTCTTTCATGGCCTATACCAATACAAAGAAGGTTTGCTGACTCTGGCGCTGAATATCACTTCATAGAGTTTGCTGACTTGATCTTAGCATACCTCATGTCAATATGTATTTGTGTATCATATACACAAATGTTCTGATAGTAGAAACTGTCAAGCTAACATTTTATATAAGTTGATATGACAATTTAGTTTGCCTGTTGATTATGTAATAGACAAGGCCCCCTTTTATTGTACTTGATATATTTTGTAACTTGTCAGGAAGATACCTGTTAAATACAAGTCATAACAAACATAAGCATAGTGCTTTGTGTAACACCCTGGCCTTACATTTAACCATAATGGATATTACAACATTTTACTACACTAGTAAAAAGCTTGGGATGCCAAGTGTGCGAGTTTGAATCTAAGAGCAGTCATTCTGTGCAAATAATGACAGAGGTTAGGTTTTTATCCAGTCCACTCCTCTCAGCAACCTTGATTCATGGGGACCAGACTGTAATCACCCTTAGCGTTCACTAGTTCTATGTCCTTTCTTGCTATTCTTTTCCTTAATAGCTTACAATGGCTGGCACTCTTCAGTTCTTCAAATTGTTCAGTTTTTTATTTATTTATTTATTATTTATTTATTATTATTATTATTTATTTATTTATTATTATTATTTATCATAGGATTAATGTTCATATTGGTCATGACAAAGTTTTACGCTGGCTGTCAAGCTTCCTGACGCAACTCTCCTCCTTTATCCGGGCTTTGTTGTTGCTCTTATTTATTTATTTATCAATTACTACCTCTTACTCTCCACTATTCAGCTATTTGTTCCATTTAAGTTCATGGTTTTGTAAATGCCTCTCTCAATTAGTTTAATTAGAGAAAATTAGTCTCATATAACTACTAAGGCCCTTTTCTACTAAATGCAAACCCATTCAAAATCTGATGGCCGTCAATTCATCTGTTTGTAATGGATAAAGTGTCAAGGTACTAGTGTTAGAGGTAGTTGCTTTGAGGTATTTTTTGCCTTAGTTCATTCTCTAAGCAGTGGTCACACTTCAATTTAATCATATTCATAATTGCTAAATTGTTTAATTTGATTAGCAATGAAATGCACCTGGGTTCTGGTGTCTAATGTGGTTACCTATGCAAACTAAGGATGTACATGTGAGATGCTATGGTCCAGCATGACAGTATTCTCTTAACAGCTTAATTATTTTAACTTGCAGATTCAATCAGATGAAAGTACGATAGTGTTAATAGAGTATGACATCACTGCAGTCACCAGGCTCCTGGTTGCATGTTGACAGCTCTGTCATAATTGTGGAGTTATAGATTCGGTCTTTTACATTAATGATCAGCTACAGAGATGATAACTCTGTTTTGTACCTTTTCTTTTTAATCTGGGGAAAAATTTCATTTATGCTGAGACTCGGTCTATAGAATGGACAAAGTATCAATTCTGATTATTAACTTCTTGACTGGTGAAGATTATATGAAATGTATAATTTGGTGAAGAAAATCTGAGTTTCCATGGTTGAATAATAACACTGTTTCTCTAATGTTATTTAAATTTATAGCGTACGATTTTGAATACAATAGTTAACGGATTTGTTGTCTTCTCTCTTTCTCCTCTCCTCTCCTCTCCTCTCTCTCTGTGTCTCTCTCTCAATCTAGAAATGGTTGGATGAACCAGTATTGCTAAAGGAAGATTTAGCATTTGCCCAAGGATGTGATGACGGTAATGCACCAGAAAATGAGTCGAAGCTTCCTCAAGGATGTGACGGTAATGCACCATCTTTGGTGCCTCTTGATAACCCGAGTTCTTTTGTCTTATAGCTAGGTCTTATATTAGAGATAAATGTCCCCTAAATCAATGTGATTGGGATGTTATCAGACATCCTATTGTATTGCATCATTATATTTTGAAATGTCTATTGATTATATAGGGATATATGGTTTTCCTTTTTTTTTTTTAAAATCAGCATGTGAATCCTTTAGTTGGGCATCTCAAACTGCTGCAAGTTGGTATCATCTCCATATTTTTTGTCAAATTCTGACTGAATGTGTATAAATCATAGTATATCCCGAGTCAATGTGAATGAATGATGTCAAAAAAATTTAAATGATGTAAAAAATAGGAATATCATTGAATTACGTATTTTAAATTTTTTTTTTTTTTTTAATAGATCAGGATAGCACTTATATGAGTTGATTTTGGTAATGAATCTTTTAAGTTTTGGTTCTGAATATCTTTGGGAAGCCTTTTTTAGTGCTGTCCTGGTGGCTCCTAAGTCCCTCACTTGGAGCATGCATCTCAATGTTATGCCACTTTGTTGATGTCATGCTCCTAATGATCTTTTAAGACTATTTATTCTCTTATATGTTAATTTACAGATTCAGGGCATTCTGAGTCCGTGGTCAGCACTTCTCAGTCATTCGTCTTGATTAAAGATGACAGCTGGTCTTCAATGGTGGAGAATCAATTGCAGGATGAAGAGGACAAGGTTAACTTTGATGATTTTGTTTTGAATCATAACAACCCTTGTTTTTGTTCAATTTTATGGTTGGTCTAGCTACTCTTGCAAAATGTCCAAGCAGATCGCATGATTTAAAAATTACTCTTTTTGGTTTTATACTACACTATGTGCATGAAAGAAATTTTTAAGAGTTCTTTTCCAGCACATCAATCAAGGAAAAATTTTAGTAATTAAAGATTATCTGGATATCTGGGAGAATCCAGGAATTGTTAATGGGGGGGCTAATACTAAACAAGGGGGAATTAGGGATCGAAAGATTAAAGAGTTGGAAAATTTTAGAGGAAATAGGGTTAGACTTTAGAGGGAGAGAAGAAATGAGTGAGCTCTCTGATTTGTGCAAGATTAGGAATTTAGGAGTTCTGTGCTTTGGCTTAGTGATTGTTTAGGGCTTGTTTGGCTTAGTCCTATTTGGTTGGGCCTTTGTTTTACAATTGTGGCTTAGATATTGGGTTTGTTTGGATGAGTTAAAGTTAGGGGCTAATAGTACCACTAATTTTTTCTTTTTAAAAACATTGGGCTACTAAAATTTTTTTTTTTTTTTGTTTTTTTTTTGGGGGGGGGGGGGGGGGGGGTTCAAGCCCCCCGTTGGATCCGCCACTGGATATTTCTCTATCATCAGTTTACTCTTTCATGCTTCATACTAATACAAAGAAGGTTTAATACCCTGGCATTGAAGATCACTTTATAGAGTTTGCTGACTCATTGATCTCATCAGACCTTATGTTAATATGTATTTACATATCATATACATGAATGTTCTGCTAGTAGAAACTGTCAATCTAACATTTTATATAAGTTGATATGACAATTTAATTCACCTGTTTATCATATAATAGACATTGTTCCCTCTTTATGGATTCAATATATGTTGTAACTTGTCAGGACGAGAGTCTATTTGGATACCTGTTAAATAGTCGAAACAAACATAACTATAGTGCTTTGTGTAACACCAATCCGGCCTTCCATTTACAATTAATTTTACTACACTAGTAAAATTCTCAGGCTGTTAAGCATGATATGCGAGTTTGAATCCTGAGAACAGTCACTCTGTGCAAATTAGGTTTGTATCCAGTCCACTCCTCACCACCCTTGATTAATGGGACCACACCGTGTAATCACCCTTAGTGTTTCACTAATTCTATGTCCTTTCTTGCCATTCTTTCCCTCAATAGCCTACAATGGCTAGTGCTCTTTAATTCCTCAAATTGTTCATTTTTTATTTTATTTTATTTTATCAAATAATACTTTTTACTCTCTACTATTCAGCTATTTGTTCCATTTAAATATATGGTCTGGTAATTGCCTCTCTCAATTAGTTTAATTAAAGCAAATTAGTGTCTTATCACAAAGGCCCTTTTTTACTAAATGTAACTGAACCCATTCAAAATCTGATGGCCGTCAATTCTTCTGTTTGTAATGGAGAAGGTGCCAAGGTACTGCTTCTGCTAGAGGCATTGCTTTGAGGTATTTTTGGCCTCATCTCATTCTCTTAGCTAAGTAGTGGTCACAGTACCGTTTAATCAAATGCATAATTGTTCATTTTTTAAATTTGATTAACAAGGAAATGCGCCTGGGTTCTGGTGTCTAATATGGTGACCTATGCAACTAAGGACATAGATGTGAGATGCTATTTTCCAGCATGGCGGTATGCTCTTACCAGCCTAACTATTTTAACATGATGACAGATTCTATCAGATAAAAGTATGATAGTGCTAACTAGAGCTTTTGACATCACTGCAGTCTTTAGGCAACCGCCAGTCATATGCGAGTCAATTTTATTAAAAGCATCATTCTGGTTGCATGTTGACAGTTCTGACATAATTGTCGAGTTATAGACTGTCTTTTACATTAAGCTCAGCTACACATGATAACTTTGATTTGTACCTTTTCTTTTTAATTTAGGGAGAAATTTCATTCATTGCTCAGACTTTGTTTATAGAACGGTGTAATGGACAAATTATCAAGTTGACTTCTTTACCGGTGAAGATTATATAAAATGGATAATTTTGGTGAAGAAAATCTGAGTTTCCATGGTTGAATAATGTCCTTGTTTCTTTAATAATTTCGAAATTTACAGCATAAATTTTCGAATACAATAGTTAACGGCTTTGTTGTCTTCCTCTTTTTTTTTTTTTTTTTTTTTTTAAAAAAAAAAAAAAAATCTAGAAATGGTTGGATGAACCAGAAAATGAGTCAAAGCTTTCTCAAGGATGTGATGTCAGTAATGTGCCACGAAGTGAGCAAAAACTAATTTCTTGCAGCAAACCCCGGAAAGCAGAGAAACCCAAAAGGTTAGTGGGGGTGGATGTTAGTTTGGCTTGTCTTTCCCTTGGCTTTTAAAATTATATTATTAATCTTGAGTTCATTTTTGATGAATATCAGGAGACTTTTACCTGCTTCACCCTCCTTATTAAAGAATATTGTTGGTTCGGACTTCGAGGATGAGAGAGAGAAAGCAAAGGTGAATTTATTGTCCCTACAATTTTTACCGTTTTCCTTCTAATTAGTTCACCATAACATTCTTATACTAGTATATATTTGCCATTTTTATTGGACCAATCTGAAATGACTTGAAAAGTATCTTCTCATATTCTTTAATCCTGACTCACAACATGCATGGGCTTAATTCGATGGGATGTTTGGGAAATTCAAGAACTATGGAATAATCATGGCCTGCTTGGTTTGTCACTCAAAAAACAATTCTCAAGAACTCGAAACAGAAAACTGTTTTCAGATAACTACAAAAGACAGTTATTTGAAAACAGGCGTTCTATAACTGAGTTTTCATATAAAAAAAAAGTTAGTTTTCAGAAACTGGACCAGACAGTTTTTGTACAGTTTTTTGTGTGACAAACCAAGCAGGTCCTCAAGTTTACATTACAGCCAGCTCATTCGAATAAGCGGATTTCTGAACAGTAGGAACTCGATGGAGTTAAGGAACACTGGCTCCCCCTCCACCCTCTTCTATTTGGATGATGTTATTTTTTACTGTTCTTACAACACAATTAGGGGGTTTATTCAAGTGCTCACGGGGTGGGGGTGTTAGAGGGAAGATGACCAACTGCTCCATCTGCCTCCATCAAATGTTACTTAATGTGTCTATAGTTTTTTTAAGAACAAAAATGATTTGCAGGGAACAAAAGGAGAAAATAAATTTGCAGCAGCTGATGAAAGCAAGAGAACTCAGGGTAGCATCAATCTCCGTCATTTGCTTAAGACCAATCTTCATCCCCGGTAATGCACTTTTGACTGTTGTAAGTTTCATCTTTTGTAGGAGGGTTCTTTTTTGGAGTATGTGTGTACCTACAACAGTTATATGTACTACTTGGTACAACAAAGTGATGATTCCAGAGTTATTAGGTTGTCCATTGGTTCACTTGCTTTAGTGTGTAGGACTCACTTAACAGTTGTCCTCTATTTTCCTCTTTTTTGGGGTTGTATGCAGGGGAGGAATCCTTATGTTTAAATTTGAGAATGTAATTATATATATATACACACACACATTATAGTGAATACAATTGTGATTGTTGATGTGGAGGTGTATACTTTATAACATTTACATCTTATGGTGTCTCCCTTGATTGAACCTGAGTTCTTTTTTATGATAGCTCTTTACAGATGAAACTGTTCTGCCATAGTTGTGCAACCTCAAATTTTATAATCTGGAAGTAAAGGAAAAGTAATGTGCTAGGATGTGGCTCTTGGCCTTACATTTTCACTGTTTAGACTCTGACTAATTGGAAACTAATTCTGAGTCTCCTTCACTATGCCTGGTATTTATAACATGATGGGGATGGGGATGATGATGTATGATTATTTTAGATAGTAAGCTTTTGTCGAGTTTGAGATGATGTTGAACTGAATGAAAGTGCTGAACTTTATTGGAAAATGAGCAAATCAAATTACTAACATTTTTTGTTATTTGGACTTTTTTTCATTCTTAAGCCCAGATACCACTAGATCACAGGGCTTGGTTTGTTAAAGACCTATTATGGCTCTAATGGGCTAAAGGAGTTTAATTCACTGGACATAAGGAACAGACCTATAATGCTATTGACAGTTGGGTCTAGGATTTATATCAAAATATGGCCTAAAATCCATTCAAATATGTGAATTTGGGGCATCATCCAGTGACCTAGTTAGGAAAGCGTCTATCTTCTGAGTGGGCGTGCTTGTGTTTGAAATCTCCATCTCTCTAATTTTTCAGGATTAAAATAAAAAATAAAAAATTGAGAATGAAAAATAAAACCTTGTTTGTCTGTTGGCACAATAAATTGTCTCATAGATGGTGTGGTCAAGTGAGCCTGCGTGCTCCCTACCAAACACTTGTCTAATTCATTAACTCTAATCCCCATGGGCCCAACCCAGCTTCTCGTTAAGCCCTTTGCGAAAAAGTAAAATGACATTCCCAAGCATGCCCCAATCAACAAATGACAAATGAATCAGATGTACTGTTCCACTCATAGGTCACAATCCCTAGTTAATTCTCTAACTTGCCAGCCCAAATTTGTAGGTTTTGTTAGCTCCGATTTTAAAGGAATTACTTCTTGTTGTACCCATCATATCTTATTTTTCATTTATTATTCCTAATTATTATTTCTCATACGGATTGAGAAATTTACTAACATTATTGTTGATGTAGTTATTTCTCACACTGAAATATTACTGAAAAGGTGCTGGAACATCATGTGCCTCGTCAAACATAGTGGGATTTTGTACACATACAAAATATTAACATTTCCAACTTAACAATCATAACAACATTAAATGTTACTGTCCTACACTCTAAAAGGTACTACTATCACACTTTATTTAGTGAAAGAACAAATGTAATGTAAAAGTTTTTTTTGAGGGACAAGCGCGTCATTTACTGTAAAAAAATAAAAATAAAATAAAGAAAGAGGAAGAAAAAAATAATGGACTATGACAGTGCTCATAAAGAATGCGAAGATCACTCCTCAACAACAGATCATAATGTTTTGACATTGAATGATGGAAAATATTGAATGATAGTAATAAGTTTTTGGTGTTAGACGCCGAAATTGATGTTCTAATATCTTAACCCAAGTCAAGTCTAAGTTTGGGAATCTTTCCCATGGTATCTTAACCTGCATCATATCACATGAATTATATGAGTTTTTTTGAATTCTTTTAGTTATCCCAAATTGTAATTACTTACTGATAAATAAATACTAAAAAAATTAAAATATATATCATGTACACTTGACATAAAATAAAAGCAATATAAATTAACTAAACTATGTTATTAGAATTTGGAACCTCCTGAAACTTTGGTAAAATTTATTTTATTATAATTTGGAAAGAACCCAAATCTTATATTACATTTATTATTTTGTTTCCTTAACTAAAATTTAATACTATGACTGTTTTACTTTAAAATTTAAAGCAAATGTGTCTAAGTTAGGTGAACACCTACTATAAATATTAAATCATCTATTCAACGTATAATATTAAAAATATAAAAATTATACACTCTTTTTGTATTTCGGGTTGCTCGGGTTAGTGAAACCTTGTCCTATATCCCAACCAAAATAAATTTGGACTCTAAAGTTTAAAGTCAGTCCAGTTCCATGATCTCGAGTATCTTACTCACGCCCATAAAATTTTCGGACGAAACCTAAGTCCGAGCCCTACTTCTAACCTACTCCAACATCACAAAAATTAGCCTTTGTGAATAATTATAAATGTCATTGAAGGTTGTGGTTTAGTAATATTTTTTTTCATTTTCTAATTCGGAAGGTGATACGGGAAGGTATAGGTTCAAATTCCAGTATGTGAATTTTTTTGTCAATGATAATAAAATACTATAGACGTTGAAAAGGTTCACATGGAATGTGCTACCAAAATTTTTCAGTGTAAAAAGTAGGAGTGCATTAGATAGATATTTTCTCAATTGTTAATTAGAAAATCAAGCTTAACCGAAGCTTGAATAAAGAGTAGATATTTAATGATGGTACACACACATCAAACGTTACTGACCAATAAATTGATAGTACAATTAGCTAATCATTAGTTTAAAGACGTACACCTTAACCTTACTTGCTGAAATGTTTAATGATCTTCTCTCTGCTTTATTATTTTTTTAAAATTATTATTTATTTATTTCCATATTCTCTCTGCTTTTTTAGAATATTTAATTAATTAATTATTAATTTTTGCACTCTTGCACATAAGTATTTATTTTTGTGAGTTTTATTTAATGGAAATACATATGCAAACGTGTACTTTTATAATAATGCACATATGAATTGGGAATTGAGATTGCTAATTAAGCCGAGAAAAATAATTAGAAGTAAATAAAAAGAGTCCTTCTATTTGGCCGGATAAATAAAAATTTACTATTTTACTGAGCCTATGTGACTACTCATGTGTCAAATATAATAATCATTTGTAAATCTCATTCAACTTCAAAATCATGTAAAAAGAAGTCAATAACTTGACTTTCACAAAAAAAAAAATAATATTTTTTTGATATGACAAGAAACTCGTACGCTCATCATTTTTATTTTGAAAACCTCTATTTTTTATTCTAAAAAATAAAAAAATATCATGAAATAGACCTATAATTTAATTAACGATTGAAGTCTCATTTATCCACGTGAGACGACTTTGAATATAAAAGAGTAAACAAGGACCCTAAAAAATTTGACCAATTCTAAATTCAAACTAAGGGGTAAATCTTTATATAAAGCATTCCGAGTGATATGAAATTGATTGATTGGTTGCAATTGAGTTGTGGATAAGTTTCTTATTTCTTAGTTTTAATTTATGAGTCTTTTGAGTTGGTTGTGGAAATTTCTTTGATAAAAAAAAGAAAAAAAAAAAAAGAAAAAAAAAAAAAGACCTTTTTTTTTTTAGCACTGTTCATGTAATCTGCCTTTAAATCAAAATCCAAGCCATCAAAACCACATCAAATCAAATCATGATTCACTCAATGAGACGCTGAATTTCATTTTAGCTTTTCGAAAAAAAAAAAAAAAAAAATCACGTGTCACCCCACGTGAAAGGGATTGGAACACCAAGACAGTGACCACAATAAGCTCCTCTCCTTTTCATGGAAGACTACCCTTACCTTACCTTTTATTAAAATGTCATTATACAAAGCCCCCACACTGATTTGACTCTTTTTGGAGTATTTCCTTCTACTACGCCCCATATTTGTACTATATTTAAAGCAGTGTTGTGGACATTTTTCTCTACAAAAAAAAATTATTATTACAAAAACGTTTTAATGGGTACACTTACCACTCTTAAATTTAATATCTTATGTCGGTAGGAATTCAGAAGTAAGTTTTTGAAGTATCATTTTCGAATTACACTTCTGACTTGAATGGTACGTGTATTATGAGAATAATACAAAAACTTTTTAACAAATACATTTATCACTCTTGAATTAAGTATCTTATGTAAACGACACGATCCAACAATAACAAGAGTATCAATCACGTGATCTAAAAACAATGAGGGCACGAGCTTACTAAGGGCACCCTTCAGTTAGCTGGCACACTTAACACTCTTGGACTAAGTGTCTTACATCAGTCATGTGATCCAATGGTAAGGAAGGCGTCACTTGGGTGATCTAAAAATAATGAGGCCATGAACTTTTACTAAGGTAACTGGCACACTTATTACTTTTAAATTAAGTGTCTTACGTTAGTAACGTGATTCAACTATAACGAATGTGTTATTCATGTGATCGAAAAAGAACGGACAGTAAGGACACCCTCACGATACTACTCTTATTTGTATGTTCCTACTCCCCCCAAAACATTTTTATGTTGTTATATTTTCATGCTTTGTAATATAGATAATAACGACTCAGTGGTCGGAAAAATCCTTGCCATATTAGAAATGTACAAAGAATGGCATGTGAATCCCAAATTACAGTTATACCCTTCTACCATTTGTATAATATTCATATGAGTGATATACTACCATACAAGTTCAGATGGACCAAACATTTGCGACTAGAAGATAACCACTGTATAATATTTAAATAATGTGACTAGAAGATAATCAATAAATAATATTTATGTGAGCTTGTCATCTCTTTTTATTTTCCACTGCTAATCTTTCACACGCATTGAATTCATTGATATCTTCTTGTTCTTATTAAGGGCCTTTTTATGCCTGTCATCCTATCACAAAATTTTTCCTTTTTGGCAATGCACCCTAATGGATATGTGGGTTCATGCACCATTTTGTGTGTCACATGTGGTTTTTGTGCATAAAGGTGTAAGTTGCAATTACTTTTAATTTATGAAAGTGTTATCTCTACATAACATAATATTTGGTTATATATCATATAGACTTGAATCCTCTCTATATATGCATTATTTTCTATATCCATATATGCATTATTTTCTATATGACAATTTCTTGGGCTTTACTTAAACTTAAATTATTTAGTTTTCCTATCTTCTTTAAATACAATGAGAGAAAAGATCGACTTAGTTTCTTTTCTATATGCATTTTGTTTTTGGCTGAATAGTAATTTGTTTGGTAAAAATTATTTTGTTATGCACAACATTGAAACGTTTTGTGAATAGTGGTCAAAAATTAAAACAACAATTTGGACTTTCACTTTTGTATTTGCTCTCACTCCCGTACCCGCTTTATGTGAATTAGATTATAATTATTATAATAATAAATTAATACTTTCTATGCATAATAATAATAAATAATAAGTAGTTCAAAATTCTATGCCATTCTTTACTTACGTTAATATTGCTAAATTGCGATGCAGTGTTTGATGTCTCTAAAAAATCTTGTGGTGGGGGCATTATTCTTAGAGATCATCTTGGCCAGGCCATCAAGGTTGTAACGATTTTTCTTCCCAATGTTTGCGAAAGGTCTTGTCCTTAGGGAGTGTCGGGGTTACAAGAATGTGATTATTGAAGGAGACTGTCTGCCTGTTTTGAACCTTCATGCCTTGAGTCAAGCATTAATGGTAGTTTTTCATAATGTTTCTTTACTTCTTAACGCTTGTATAGGTTCTTCTTTACTATGGGTGCCTCGGAGAGGAAATGTTGTAACTCATTTTTGCACTAATGGAAGAAACTGATCCAGCCCAGTTGACCCGATATGTAAAAGTTCGACCCGTATTATTGGTTGTAAAAGTTTGAACCACATTCTTGTGTGTGTGCGCTGGCAGGCTGTGCAGGCAGCTTCGCGCGTGCGGCACGTGTAAATACCCAATTGCGTACTGAAAGCTGACCAGAAAATTGAGAAGAAAGAGAAAATTACAAAGGAAACGTTCTCTCTATCCCTCTCTGGTTCGAAAAGGCCACACAGAGGACAAAAGCGAGGGTTTTGTGAAGAGAGAGAAAATTCTCAGCTCACACAGAGAAGCCGATGCGAAATACACGAAGTTATCGGATTAAGATTGATTTCTAGAGAGAGAAAGTCTAGAGAGAGAGAGAGAGAGAGACAGAGGAGCTGTTTCGCTGTTGGGATCAAATTCGAGTCTCTCTCTTCCTCCAAAGCCTTTTCACTGCTAGGGTTTTCCTTTTATGGAGAGGTAAGATTACAAGTCACAAACTACTTATTATCTAATTCTTTTTCATATTTTATTATATACCCTTACCATATTTGGGATTTGCGTTTCAAATTTATAATTTATAATTTTGATGCATTAATTAGGCATAATCTTAATTAAATCCTTCATATCTGATTCTTCTTTATATACTTCACGCCTCGAAACTTAGGGTTTCGTAAAGTTTATCTCTTTCTGCTGAATTTCATTTTTAGGGCTCGATCTTCTCTCCATATGGTATTCACTCATCAGTAATTGTCCAAAATTAAGCTGTTTTTCCTTAGTTGTTGTGGGAAATTCCTAGATCAATTCATTGGTTTTTGCTTTTGTTTCGGAGTTTCTGTGTCAATTAGTGCATTTCCAGTTTCTCAAATGTTATTCAATTGAACTTTCTCTTTTGGGTGTTGTGATTTTACTGTTTTGGTTTATAAATTATAACTAGTTTATATGTGGCTCTAGAAAATGTCCCTTGTATTTTTTTTCCCCCAATTGTGTGTGTGTCTTTTGTAATTAGTGTATCTTCGGTTGTCTCAATGTTCTAAGTTTTGGGTTTCTTGTTTCGGATTTGATTTTACTGTTCTGTTTATGAATATTAAATTATATGCCTTTTCTTTTTCTATTTTCAGGAAGACGTGCTATTTATTTGGCTATTGTGATTATTAAATTTCAATCTTTGGTTTACATCTGAACTTGATCAAAGGCCCATTGAAGGAACTGGTAATTTAACTGCTGTTAACAGCTTCAGTCTTGTAATTTTTTCTATGCTTGCCCATGTGCTGTTGTCAGTTTTTGTTATCATCAACGTAATTTTTTTTTTTTAAAACCAGAACACTGATTTGTGTACATGGTTAGGGTTATTGCATGATAGTCTATTATAAGCAATAAAATATACCAATAAAGATTGGCAGTTGGCAATCTAAATTTGACAAAATCATTATGAGGTTGGGTAAATTTGAGAAACCTCAATATACATCAATAGTAGGCATCACAATGAGCTTTGTAAAATTTATTCTGATTGGATTAACATTTATTTGTTGAAAGGGTTTGATTACCTCATGAAGTTATTCTATTTATTTTCTGAAAACGTGAGATTCATCAACCCAATTCCTTTATATGTGACATTTTGTTTACCATTTAATTATTGTTCATTGTTAAAGTTGTTGAATTGTTGTTACTGTGAAATGTATGTAAGTATTCGATCAACTAGAAAACAGATCATCGCATGCATGTATGATTCTCATATTACAGCGTACCTTTAAATTCCTCAAACTTGTTGTACTGTAAATTAGTTAAGTGCGAGGAATTTGAAAAGACTTAAATAATTCATGGCAGAATTATAATTACATGAACTAAATTAATTGTGTTCTAAATTTTCTATAAGGACTCTATTTTAGCTTCTTTCTATGCTATGATGGACTGCTGGCACCTAGACTATATTGGCGCCCCAAATCATTCAAGTCTCTTTGAGGCCTTGTTTGACCTCTTGTTATACATGTTTCAACTTGATCAATTTTGAATGAGTATTAATATAAGACTCATCAGCTTAGGCAAGTTTCATCTCTGAATGCTTTTGTTTGACGTCTGGTTATACTTCTTTTGGACTTTTGCCTCTGAAAGTTCAAATTGTTTATGAAGAGTCTAGAAGTAGTTTTGAAAACGGTTGAACCTTTGCATTTTAGTCTCCAAGTTCGCAGCGAGCGGCACATCTTTTGTGTATAGAACTGCAGAAATAGTATATATCTAACTGAAAGCATCTACTTTCTGAAAGCTACATCATGTGGTTTCAGATTAGCGGAATATAAGTGCTTTATCTTTTTACTTTTTTATTTGATGGATCCATTTGGAAGGTGTAAATGAAGTACAACACTACATTGTTGTCATCGTTATTCTCATCATCATCAGCATCACCACCAGAACCGCGGCCGTCATTATTTGTGTCCGTATGACTGTTACAAGGCGATGTGTCTCCCTTTATATCTGCGTGTGTTTAGCTCATATCAGTGGAGTTTGCAATTTCACGTCATTAGATTCAAAAGAAACAATATTACAGTTGCTCTAGTTTTGGTTCATTTGTTTGATTTTTAATTTTTAATTTTATTTTTGAGACTGGATTAGCTTGGAGATCATTGCTTATAGCGTTCTCCTTATATTTCTCCAGTTGCTTGGGCAACTAGATCTCATAGGTTTTTTCTTTCTTTTTTGTCCATCTCTAAATAATCCATGAAAATTTCTTTTTGAAGATTGTTGAATAAATGTATATCTATTTATATATTTTCTTTTAATTGTTGTCTTGGCATGGTGTGGTTAGTGCTCATGTTAATCAAGGTTGTTAGGATCGGGATTCTATGTAGGATCGATGTGGGGCCCAAGGGATCAGAATCGTAGGATCAGATTGAAAATCGTAAGATTCTATAAAATTATTAGAAAAATATCTCAAACTTTCTAAATCAAATGTCTCCAATATTAAGTAGAAACTAGAAAGTAAGGCTAAACAACCAACATGTGACATTCTAACAATATCAATTAACATTAAAAGATTTCAAGTCATATGACAAACACTTAAAATCAGTTTTTTGATTCCTCTATACAAAAGGATTGGCATAACAATCAAGCAGAATCTCACAGAAGAAATCAAAGTAAAGCCTAAACAAATAGAAAAAGGGAAAAGAGAAACAAAGAGAGAAAAGTACATTTTACTTGCAAGTGTTTGAGCAATTTAGTTGAAAGGTGTACTTTTTGGTTCAAAAGAAGAACAAAACAGAGATATAAAGAACAACGGAAAAAAAAATGAAGCTTGTCTTTGATTTTGTTTCAGAATGGACAAAGAATAGGTGGAAAAATAGAGTTCTTTCTCTTTCTTGTTTTGAAAAATAAAGAAGAAAAGAGAAATTAAGAAGAATAAAGCAAAATAGAGGATTTGGTTTTTTAAAGGTTTGAGCCATACCTTTGAAATTCAGAGTTGAATCGTCTCTGCATTTGATGTTGGGTCTTTGATTATTGTTTTTCATTTTTATTTTTTAATGCACTTATGCTAAAGAGTTGGGCTTTATATTTAAAATGATTAAATTTATTTTCCCAAATGGGTTGTATGCTCAAATAAATCAAGAACACAAAACCACGATTTAGTAGGATCGTGCAATCCTATGCGATTCTATGATCCTACTTCTGACACTACCGATCCTAATGTGATTCTACTTCCCAGTGATTTTCGTGTGGTCGGGATTAATTTAGCAATTTGGGATTGTGGGATCGTAAGACTATCGTATTTTGATTTGACCTCTTTAATGAGATTTGTCTAAAGGATGGAACAAGCAAAATGGCCTGATGCTAATGTCAGTTGGACTTGGAAGCAAGTAATTTCTGATCAAGTTAAATAAATTTGGATAAATTCATTTACTAAGGCTACATTTAATTGGATGGAAAGTTCTTGAAAGTGTGGGAAATTGAAAACGTGGTCATATAAGAAAATATATATTCTCGTGAAAGTAGTGTTCTATTTTCAGTTATTCATTACATTTTGCACTACTTCTCTTCTCCATTATAGAAAATTGCAGGCATATTGGTAGTATGAAGTTCTTTATTATTTATTTTTTTTGGTATCTTTATGCAACTGAAATTTCAAGTGCATGGATGCTTTTTTTTTTTTCAAACTTGAGGACATCAAGCAGCATTTTGAAGATCCTCCTAATTTGTTATATTTTTTTTTATCCAAGGGACCAACCTACAAGAACTAATGGCACTAGAAACACGAATGAAATTTATTGAGAAAAATCAAACTGATTCAAACCATTCTATAACTTAGTTCAGATTAGGTTTTTTGGGTAAGTGGGATTGGTTTTGTTTTAGGTGATCCTCATTTTATTCTAATTTTCCCACTAAACCTTATCAAATGAAACCAGGTGCACCCTAGTTGGATGTCTTTGACCGCATGCTAAGAAAGCTTAGCTTCTTAGCAGCGTACGTATAAAAAAGTACTATAACAAAAAGCTCGGTCCAATTCATATTGGTCATATTCTGCTCTATCAAGGAGAAAACAGTGTTGAGGACCAACTTCTAAGTGCAAAAGCTTATTGAGGGGCTGAATTTGTTAAATTTTTAACTTTTTAGGAGGTCATTAAAATTTATTCGGGGTCTTTACTTTCTCTGTTTGATACAGATTATCTTTTACTGTATTCTATATATGTTATGATGTTTGGTCTGTCAGGTCAATGATTTTTCTTCCTTTTGATCCTAGAAGTTAACTAGGTTCAAGTACTTACTATATTAGAATTACTTGAGGGTTAAATTACTTTGGGGTGAAACAATTAGTAATTAAGGAGAGTCATTTTTGGGGGTGAAGTTACTTTTGGCTTGAATAACTTAATTCAAGGATTGAAGAAGTTGAAAAGCTTATATAAATGTTTATTGAATTTTTATACCTTTATTTATGACATGGAGATGCAGACACAGGATTTTTCTTCAAAAAAGATATGCTCTATGTGCCAAAAAGGGGATGATGGATAAAATATGCAATTCATGCTGCATTTGGCATGTAAATTTGCTGTGATAAAATTGATTATGGATATTATTGTCACAACGGATATTCAGAACATTTTTCTTTCTATGGAACTTCTTACATGTTCTTTAATGCAATCGATGTACAAAGGCACTTGCCCACAAAAGTGCACATTTATGGATTGTGCGCACACAGAAATACTCCAGGACATATTCTTCTCTCATGTACCATTACACCATATATACTTAAATTTGAACCCTGTTTAGCATGTGCTTATGGGATCAAAATCCTCTCCATACACCACTTCCTGAAATACCACGCTGGTGCTTCCAAATGGTGTCGTTTTGAAAAACTAATTTGGAATCCGTACACCACTTCCTGAATACCATGCCGGTGCTTCCAAACGGCGTCATTTTGAAAAACTAATTTGGAATCCGTACGCCACTTCTTGAATACCATGCCTGTGCTTCCAAACGACGCCGTTTTGAAAAACTAATTTGAAATTGCGTCAACTCTACTTCAAAATTGCACCAGCTGCACCTTTACTTTGAATTTGCACCACATTTTTGACTTCAAATTTGCACTATATTTACTTTGAAATTTCACCACAATTTCTTTGAACTTGCACCACCATTCTGAGCATAAAGTTTTATGCATCATTCTGACTGCTAAGTCTGCTATCTACTGGGCTTTTCAAATTATTATTGTTGTGTTGTTGATGATGATGATGATGTTGTTGTGATGTTTACAGCTGTAACCTGATCTATTGAATTTTATGGCTCATAATGATATAAAGGTGCCACCTAGCCTAGTTGGTCAAGTCTACAGGCTGTCTTACCAGAGACCTGAGATAAAATTCCATCTTCGGAATGGGGGTTGGGCCTGGTTATGGGGTATAGGGGAGGGTAAACCCCAATTGTGTATCCCAGTCATTTGACTGAAGAAGAGCGTTAAATAACTATGTATATTGGTTTAAAATTTGTAAATTTTCACAGCTTCTTAAAGGAAGAAATTGAATTTGAACTTGTTGAAAAACTGTCCTTACCTTAAAACACTCTCATGAACATCAGCTGATAAATTCCAAGTCTAGTTGTGGTTGAAGTTCTATCTCATTCCTCACCCCCCCTCCCCCCCCAGAAAATCATTTTTTTTTTTCCAATCACAAGTGAGAAAAAATTAATTATACGTCTCTTGGCTAATAGTTTGTACAATATATTTTGTCTGTCCTTGAGATTTATGCTTTATGATATGTGACTTTCTTCAAGTACTATATGTTTCATTTCATAAGAATCATAACATGATGTTTGCAGGATGCAGCGTGAATTGTTTCCTGAAACTTCTCTATAGTTTCTTGGGATGAAGGAATATGTATTAGCATGTGACAAGGACTTCTTTGGCGCTTGGAAGTCCTAAGTGGCATGTGAAGCACTATGACGCTTGAAGATTTCTTTACCCTGACTGAGATGAAAGATGGGCTCACCGCTCCTGCTCGAGTTAAGGAGCTGATCACTGTAATGCAGAAAGAGAAAGATTGTGTGGTGAATGTTGGTGATGCAACCAGGCAGTGGTCTACTGTTGCAAGCACTATAGCAGCTACTGAGAATAAAGAATGTCTTGATCTTTTTATTCAATTAGATGGACTCTGGTTTATTGATAGGTGGCTTAAGGATGCTCAGAAGTTTGGTAATGATACAAGTGACAGCTTTGTGGAAGAGTCAATCACTGCATTACTACGGGCGCTTAAAAAGCTGCATATAGACAATGAGAAGTCAGTTTCCTCTGGAATCTGGATGACTGTTAAGAATCTCCTTGGCCACAATAATTCTAGTGTTCAGGATAGGGCTAGAACTCTGTTTGATAGCTGGGAGCAAGACAGAGATAGAAATGCGAATTCCAAGGATGTTGAGAATGGTGGGGCAATTTGTGATGATGGGATAGTAAGTGCAAATATTGCTAATGAGAGTGGAAGCCTAGAATGTTCCGCCAGGGATATTTCTCCCTCCAGAGGACGTGAGAATGAAGAGAAACATGTTGAGCCTGCCAGAGATGAAAAGATGTCATCAGTTAGTTCAGACACTGTTCAATCAGAAAGGCATGATGTACAGATCCAAACATCTGATGAAATTTTGGACCATGCCATTAGCAAGGATGTGCCTGGGGATGCTGTGGGCTCCCCCATCATGTTAAAACCTAGTAAAGAAGACCTTTCTGTCAAGGAAGATCGCCCCATACATTGTTCAGAAGGAACCAACTTAATTGATACTTGTAGTTCTGTGGATCCAGTGCAAGATGTTGAAGGGAAGTCAGATGTTCCAAAGTTGGATGAAAACACTGATGATGGTAATCAGGTGCAAACGATCATAGGTTCCCTGGACCAATTTCGTGTAATGGACGTATCTTCTGTTTCCAATCTGTTGGAACCTGGAGCTCTTTCTTCAAGTGTCAATGCTACAAATGCTCCAAAATCTGCAATAGAAGATCACCTTCAAAACAATACTGATTCCAAAGATCAAGACTATAATCTAAAAGCTTCCTCTTTTGGTGATGTGAGAACAGTTGTGTTAAAGGGGAAGAGTGGGATGGATAACATTGGATCTATGGATCATTGCAGCACACAGCTGTTTAGAACTACAGATCAAGGTGGTGAATGTTATGGTAATATTTTACAGGATTCTTCTGGCAGTGAGTCTAAATTGGGGAAAACCAAGGATCCAGATACTTCTTTTTCCAAGGTAGAAGACCATGGTGCAGCTGATGAAGTCCAGGAGGATGCTAGTGATGAAGATGGGGATCTGGCAAATGATACGGAACCAGCAATGGAAGACAAAGATTCTGTTATCGAGAAGAGGTCGTCTGATTTCGACCTTGACTATGGCACTGTAGATGCTATAGAAGTTGCTCGGCTAGTTGCTATAGAAGTGGAAAGAGAGGTCGTGGATCGCATAGAGCAAAGTTGCAGCTCCTCTGAGAAGATATCAGAAGGTGGAATCAGACAGCCAGATAGCCCAGACTCTATAAATGGGAAAGAAAGCCAACCTGTTGAAGGCCCGCCTGATGATGTGCCAACTGGACTGGATCTGTGTGCCGAGTCTTCACCAAAGGGGGAGGAGCCCCTAATTAGTGTAGATAACCTGGACACCGAGCCAGAACTTTGCATGCACGATATGTCCTCTCAGGTTACTGAGGCGGCTCAAGAACCAGAAGGTCATGCGGAGAAAGGCCTCTGTGATTTTGATCTGAACCAAGAAGTCTGCTCAGAGGATATGAATCACCCAGTAAATCTAAGCTCGACCCCCATTTCTGTGGTTTCTGCTTCAAGGGCAGCAGCTGCTCCTGGTTTGCCTGTAGCACCTTTGCAGTTTGAGGGGGCTCTTGGTTGGAAGGGATCTGCTGCAACTAGTGCTTTTCGCCCAGCATCACCGCGCAGAATTAATGATAGTGACAGGAGTTTCTCTGTTGGGGGGAGTTGCAATAGTTCAAAGCAGCAGCATTACTGCCTTGATATTGATCTGAATGTGGCTGAGAGTGGTGATGATAAAATCGCAGATCTAGAGCCGGGAAAACAAATTATGTTATCATCTGGCCTGCCTTCTGGAGAATCTTCAGTGGAAGTGAGTCCAAGAAGATCAGAGAGGTTCAAGTTGGATCTTAACCGCATCAGTGATGAAGCTGATGGCTCATCAGATTGGAAGATGGAGGGAAGGCTCTTTCAGCTCAGGAACGGCCATGGCAGCCCATCTCCTTCTTCTTCATCATCATCAATGCAACCTGTCTTGAGGAACATTGATTTGAACGACCAGCCATCCTTTTATAATGATTCTTCAAATCAGCAGCCCTATGTTGGGAAGTCATTTCCTCTAATAAATCTAAATGTTACCGGAGGACTTAAATCAGATGACTCCACAATTTCCATCATGGGTACCAGAGTGGAGGTCAGTCGAAAAGATTTTGTTTCTAAAACTCTATCGTTACCAAATGGCAGGATTCCAGAGCCTGCAATCGATCTTAATTTGGCAACAACTGGAAGTGTTTTGGGGATGGGGGCCACAATGTCATTCACACATTCTCCTGTTTTCGGGTACAATGGCCTTACAACGGGGCCTACAATGCCCTTTTCCTCGGGTATCTATGGACCTGGTGGCCACATCCCTTACATGGTGGATTCTAGAGGAGCCCCTGTTGTATCTCAAATTGTGGGCTCTGCATCAACAGTTGCGGCCAACTTCTCCCAACCACCGTTCATTATGAGCATGACTAGCACATTTCCAGCATCAAACGGGGCTGGGCCTTCACGGCCTAGTTTTGATCTCAATTCCGGCTTAATGATGGAGGGGGGAAGTAGAGACTCAGGTAGTTTGAGGCAGCTTTTCAGTTCTGGTCCTGGCAGGTCAGTAGATGAGCACTTGAGGAGCAATTTGCAACCGTCTGTAAGTTCTGGTGTTGGTGGGAAGCGAAAGGAACCCGATGGTGGCTGGGAAACCTATCCGTTTAACTACAAACATCAGCAGCAACCGCCGTGGAAGTAGGTTTTTTATTTATCTTGGGATCAGTAGGGACTAAACAAGGGGTTTAATGCTTGCATAGCTGTAGATGAGCCAATTGGATTTAGTGGGAGAAGGATTAGTAGAACTGAGAAAAGACAGGGATTATGGATGTAACTTGACTCATGAGATCAACTGCCAGCAGAAAAGAAATTAGGTTTCATTGTTTCATATCTTATTTTCCTTTTTTTTTTTTTTTCTTTTTATTTCATAGAAGCCCATTGCTATCAAAAGAAGCTTGTTATTTATAAACTCTTTCCCATATATTTTTAAAGAAAACTTGGAGGAATGTCTCTTTTCTAGTCTCTTTCTGTGTATATGGTATTGATATTTGACAAAATAGTTTGGATCTAACTGATGTTTTATACAATAAGTTGTTTTGTTGTGTTTGTGTCATCATTATTATTTTTATTTTCTGTTCGTTTTATTACTTTTGTACGTTGCAGTTTTGTACTTGATAGGATGGAAATGGATCCTCCTCACTATCAGTTTTTTGCAAGTGTATTTAATGGACAATAATCACTTCAGTTTATATTGATGTGGTTCGTTGTTATTAACCGATCACGGGCAAAATGAAAGGGATTCGCGTTCTTTTGTGACTCTGTTGCGGTTTACTGAAAAGAGAATCAACAATTCAGGATCCTGTGTTTTTAACTCTTTTACTTACACACTGTATCATCTTTCCTCTTTTACTTGCCACATTTGGCAAGGCACCTGCTTTTTCTAATGTAGATTTTTACTCGTAGAAAAGAAATTGGAAGGGACTGATAGGACTTACCATGGTACGCATAAAAAACCCCAACGAAGAGAGAGAGAGACAGGTCGCATGGAATATCATATTCCTTTTCCTAATTTTATTTACATGTACATAAATATATTATTTAGCAAGTACTAGTAATATATATATATATGTATTCATATAAAGTAGGATAAAATAGACACACACACACATACACATACATATATTACACATCAGCATTGTTCAAACTTGGTCCGTTTATTAAACTAGCCTAAAAAATGAGGTCATTAATGAGTTCACAAATGATCCCAAACTGAGCTTTTAACGATCCAAGCAAAATTGTTTGTGCCGAAAAATGAGTTCATAAATGATCTCAAACCGAGCTTTTAACGATCCGAAAATAATTGTTTGTGAAAATAACCAAGTTCAATCTACAGTCCCAAATTGTTTGTGAGAACAACTAAGTTCAATCTTACGGTCCCAACTTCAGTATACTTTCTTCGATTCATATCTAATTGTTCTTGTTTTAACCAAATGGTTTAAAAGTTCAATTTGCAGTCCCAACTGCAGTATATTACTTGGTCATATCTAATATTTTTTGTTGTTTTAACCAAATGGCACGTTGACGTTTAAATTTTGCCCACAGCCCACACCAGAGCTTGAGCCCCTCCCCGAAGAAGGTTCTTCCATTAGACTAATTTTTATCATACCTGTGTTTCCTTACTGACAACTACAAAAGCAGAATGATCTTGTGGCCCAAAAAGCAAGATCAACCAGCAAGTCTTTTGTTTACTAATGAATGAAAATCTACATAAACTTCAAATGGCAGAACGAGGACACAAGGACCCTAAGCAAAAATGGACAGACAGTAATTTCATTAAATAACTTAATAACATGAGCATTTTAATATAAATTTCATTTGTTTGATTACAACTCTTGTAGAGGTACGTTGAAGGAAAGCTTGACCGATGCTGCTACCTCTGCTTTATAGAGGTACATTACCTCCACTTGATGCCGCTTGACAGTAAAGTTAGATCGGCTACTTGATGCTGCTACTTCCTCTTATAGCTGCAAATAAAAATTGAAATGGATTTGAGAAGGTACAATACATTAATGGGACACGGATTAACCAAAGGGCATGTAGCCCAATGGTATAACCTCCCCTCCTCTTGGGTTCAAGCCCGGGTGTGGGCAAAACGTGTGTGTGAGTGAGTGTGTTTTTTGCCAATGTAAAAATATATATATAATAATGAGACACGGATTCTAGCATGGATTTGGCCACAACTCCCATAAATGAACCTAAGGCGACCAAAAGGATTCATATTGCACAAACCCCCCAAATAGAAAAATAAGCTCTGTCCAATGATCTCACTATTAATTGAACAACAACACATAATGCCAGGTTTTAGCACCAAAAAAGTCGAAGAAAACAAGACAAACAGATTCATGTCACTTTGAATGAGGAAAACAAAGAATACCTTGAAAAATACAATTGGAGCTGAGAAAAAGGAATTTAGATTATTTCATACCGTGACTTGCTCTTGAACGACGACGTTTTCTTTCCACCACCACCACTACCACGAAGGGTTCTTTTCTGCTTTTTCTCACTCATGTCACTTTGGAACATCTCCCGCATCTCTTCTGTCCTCGATTGAGTTGTTCGTGGAGGATGCTTCGATTTCTTTTCTGTTTTTTTCACAATCTTGCCGGCATCTACTGCCTTCTTCTTAGCCTTTACAGCCTTTGCTCGACGATAAGCCAGGTCAACAAGTGAAATTCCAGTTTTTTCTTTTTTGTTTTTCCCACCCTCCTGAAAATTAAAATATTAATTACCGGAAACCACTGTATAATTCACATAATGCAAAGCCTGTTAGATCAAGCACGCAAAGAAAATATGCATTTTTTAGGTCAACAATCAACATTAGCACTTAAAAATATGAGAAGTGTTAACACAAACAGTGCTAACACAAACACATGGATACACAAACGGTCAGTCGCCCAACAGCACATGTTTATGAACTTCAATGCCCAATACTAAAAGCTCAGCAAACACAAGGTCTACAACAGACTGAAGGAGGGAGAGGGAAAGCTGCACACGCTCATATCATAATACTTCCTATTTTAAATTTAACGCCATCCATAACAGACCCCGCCAGACAGAGAAGCAGCGGCAGTATTTTGATAAGAAAGCATTTTACCCATAACCCTAGAATAATTCGTTAAATTGTCCAAACAGGTAATAAGCTACTGTTCCACCAATAATAAAGGCCATCACTTGGGGTGATCTCCTTCATCAAAGGTGCCAGTAGCAGAGACATGGAGAGAGAGCATAGTTGTACAAAGTGGCTGCCCTCATAACACATTCATCAATATGACAGCCCGAACATTAAAAAACACCATCTAATAGCCCTTGGTCCCATTAAATTCAGAATAAGAATCTGCCCAAACATAACTGATGATACACAGGCTATCTGATTGAACCAAGATTTGGTATTATAATTCTCCAAAATGATCTGGCTAATGACCTATGTGACTACAAATTTCCCATCAGACTCTGGGACTCTTTTGATTGAAGTGAATATGAGAGACAGATAAAGGGATAGACACATACTTCAAACTTTTCAATTTCATTTTCGTCATCCAATGTCTCCCTAGCTGCTTCCAGTTTCCTCCGTTTCTTCCTGGGCATATTTTTCTATCAACACCAAAGAGTGAGCATCACATCAATCAATTCGGCTAGAAGTTTTCTGATGGAAAAATATAAATCAAATGTAGGATATAATAATCACCTCACGCTCTCGCTTTCTCTTTTCCTTCATCTTAAGGTCTTCGGCTTGTTGGGCACTGACAAACTCATTTCCAGAACTTCTTCCACTATCCGCAGATGCCTGTCATTTCAGATGCCAAGTCAAACAGTTATTGAACTAATTTCTTAACATAAAAATTCTGGGCATGGTTAGGAAAAATTATGGGAGTTAATTACAATTTTATGTTTCATTCAAACACCATCAATAAAGATAACAATTACTAAAACATACTCGCTTTCGAAGATTGACTTCATATATCTAGGAGAATCAAAATTACAATAAGGTTAAGTAGGTATTTAGTTCAATATGAAATCTGCCTCCAAAATAAATTTTCACAGTTGGAAGCCGTTTCCCAAAAGCTGAAACTCATGTATGACTAAAGGCCAAAAGAACAGTTAAATAACACTACAATTTACAGAGTGTTATAAGGTCGCAAATACCACCAAGATGATCTTTCAGTTGCAATTCTTTAAGCTCAATTTGCAGACCCACTTTCAACCCCCCAAAAGGCTGCAGCCTGGAGCTGTGAAGATACAGATGCAAGCGAGAAGTGGGAATAGTTTCATGCTTAAAATTTTCCTCTTTCTTCTTGTGTGGTAATGGGCCTATTAGATATGATAAAGCTTCAAAAAGAAATATGAACAGATGATTGATTCAAGATTAATATAAATGAAGGAGCAATAGAATGTGGCTGTTTGTCCTATTCAGGATTTTTGTTATACAAAGATTCACTTTAAGGTCATTATCATTACCTAGTGATGTTCCAGGCAATGAAGGGCATTGGGCGAAGTGAACTGGACAAAGACCAAAACTTCGGCATTGCACAAATAAGACTGCTGTCCTTAGACTCAAACCCACGTTTTCTTACTTGACAATCGGAAATTCTATTATTGCGCTAAGCAATAGCCCCAATTCATTTTCCTTTCAAAGGAGTAAATTGTTAACAAAATTGATTTTGATAAAGCTTGATGTTGTTAAGCCATTGGAGTACAGTTAGCAAAATGACTAGCATATGAACAAGATGATACACTCATTCAATTAACTTTGCGCTTTACAAGAAAGGTCATCATTATGCTGAAACTTGATGTTCCAAAAAAATATGTATAATATATATATATATATAAATTATGAAGCTTCAACAACCTAATCAAGCAGAAACATTAGAGCAAAATAAACAATAACTGAATGAATTGCAAACAGCCACCTTATGACTTATGGCACTTCAAGCACTTACACTACTATATAAAACCATGCATATGGATTAACATCCATGAAGCAAAAAATATTACCATTGTTGCCTTGGCTACAAGCTTTTTCTCCTTTTCTGTTACAAACCAGGTTCTTTTGGGGCGTGAATAAATTTCATCTTTATGGGCAATCATATTTTCTGCCTGAGTGTCACAGAACAGAGTAAATCACATTAAAAAAAAATAAAGCTTCAAAAATAAGATTGCTTGATGAAGGATACTATTTCATGGCTACAAAGCATCCATGAAATCAGTTTTGTATGACAATATCAACCTTCTTGATGATGCCATTCTCCAACAAACCAATTACATAGATTTGAGTAATGGAGCGTAAAAAAAGTTTCAGTAGTATAGGCAACATATAAATGTAGAGATTAGGGCAGAAAACCTTTGTTGCTTCCATTTCAGCTTTTCTCAGTGCCATCTCTTCCCTGCATCAATTTTTAAAAAACAATTTTCTATGAAGGAAAAAAAAATTTAACAATTGTAATTGCCACTGTATACTTATAAAAGGGGGAAATTGAAAATGAAATATCATAAAAACCTCTATTCTCTCCTACCAGAGGAAAAAAAATTACAAAAAACAAACAAATTTACCTCTCTTCTTGCAGAATTGCAGCTACTTGATCCTCCATTTGCTCAATTATCTGAGACCACTTGGTAATTGATTGCTCCGCCACAATTCGGCTCTTCAGCTTTGAACCAGCTCTCTTTGCCTGTTATAATGTCCAATAAAATTATAATTGTGTCGCTTGAGAAGTATCACATATGTAAGAATTCATAATATTTTTTTTATCAGACTTGGATCATAATTGGATTGAATCTACCTAAAATCAAAATCAATTTGATTATAATTGAAACTCGCAATTTGAATTTTGATCCAAACCATTAGATCTCATTTCTTTCCACAATCGTTTAGAATCATGTTGGAATTGGATCTTCCTCCGACCTGTAACGGTCGTCACCGCCCTAACCCCACTCATGGCCTTCCTCACAACAAGTTGAACACAACCTCTTTCGAGTGAGAAACACTTGATCCAAACTAAGATTTATTGGCTTCGACAATTGTTGAATGAATGAAAAGTGCAGGAGTAAGATTCTGTAATGTTATATCAGTTCTCCTATTCATCATAACGTTACTAATGAATAATAATTGAGACAGATTTCAGAAGTCTTCGCTTTCAGGGATAGCCTAACATACATACTGAGAAAAGAAAAGAGGGGAGAGAGAGAGAGAGAACTGGAAATTAAAAAAAAAAAAAAAAAATGCTCACAATGGCTTTTAGAAGAGACCGGTCATTATCAGTGACAAATGTAACAGCATATCCTTCTCTGCCAGCTCTCGCTGTACGACCAACTCGATGAACATAACTGCAAGGAGGGGGAGGTGGGAGAGAGATACACAGAGAGAAGATTCCTCATGAATTCAAATTTCTTTGGACAAATGTCGATTTAAAGTAAAACTATCTGACCAAATAAATGGATGAAAAAAAAGCAGGCATACACACACAACAAGAGTAAGGGGTAAAACTCACAAGTATATAACCATTCAAGAACAGAGAAGCATAAAATGGGTGTGTGTGTTTGTGTTGTGTTGGGGGGGGCGGGGTGGTGGTGTTGGGGTTGTGGAGTTGGTATATACCTGGTAAGGTCACGGGGGCATGCAAAATTTATGACTGTTTGAACACCAACTATGTCAAGTCCCTGCAAAAGAGAATAAGATAACATCAACAATAATGGGGTTTATTATCAACCATTGTTGAACTTTTTTGCAAAATATGCATCAAAATCCAGAAGATATCAATTAAGTACATGATGGAAAGATCCTTCAAATTTGGCTCAAACAAGTGTTCGTGCTCATAAAAAACCTAATAGGATTTATTCAGCGGAAATTTGATTAAGAGAACAATTCATTTACTTTAGTCCAAAAATAATCCGCCCCCAGGGGAATCGGAGCATGCAAAGAAAATAAGTAAATGAATCGGTTAGACATCTTACACGAGCGGCAACATCAGTTGCAATTAGGAAATCCACTTGCTGCTTCCTGAAAATTTCCAAAGCCTAGACAGATATCCACCAAGCGAGAAAGTTGCAGCCCACGTAACATTGTAAGCTCGATGAACCAAAAAAATTAATGAAGATCTAAGGAGTTCTAGCATCTTGATAGGACTGTTCAAGTACTCTTTAATTAATGAATGAAACCTACAGAGCTCTGGAACTCACATCAAGACGCTGGACTTGGGTAAGATTTCCATGAAGCTCCGCAGCTTTAAAGCCGAGTAATCCAAATAAAATCTTCAACCTGTGTGCAGCCTGTTTTGTTCCACTGCCAATGAAATGTAAATTCATTAATGGAAGCCTCAAGATCAAATCTCTAGAAGGCAACAATATCGACAATGACCCTAGTGTTTTATTCCAACTCCAAATAACTTTCATCTAGTTTATAAATGAATTTTGCACAATATAAAAATAAAGGTTGTAATAGGGTTCAATTTTTTGGAGCTCCTAAAATAAATCTTCTTCAAACCACTTGACTATGTAAAACTAAATTAGTAGTAGGACTACTCCAATAACACAACGCTACAAATCCAAATCTGCATATTGTGCTAGAACAGCTTAAAAGAGTTTGACTAATAACTCATATTGTAAATTAAACATAATTCATTCAATCTAAGATTTTTTTTTTCTATTTAATCTATTCATAACTCAGATAGGATAATTGCAATTTAAAGAAACATGTATTATTAAATTCTGCAGAGAATCAATGAATACATCCTTAACATTAATAGAAACCTGAAAATAATCACTTTGGCGGTGAAGGTCTTAGAACACAGTGCAAGAAGAACTGCCTCCTGATTTACTTCACGCATCCGCCGTATCCTAACCACCCTGTACACAAGCAGTCTCAGTTATTGATAAGTTGGATGGTAAATGGTTCAACGTAAAAAAAATAATAAATTAATAGATAATAAGTAAAGAATTGTTGCTATAATAAATTAATTCCAATATGATGTTCAATTCTTCGTAAAATTTCAAAAGAAAAATAAAATCACAATATGTGATCAACATAATAAGTTTTTTTTATTATTTAAAAAAAAAAATCTGTAATAAGTTCTACCCAAACCCAAACTGCTAAGTTATAAAGGAATTACTCCTCAGTCAATGTTGCGGGCCGTTTAGTGGATGGGTCAGCTGAGAGCCGCAAAGGTCTGGTCAAAGAAAGCCTGATAAGCTCATCAATTTCTTCAGTCATGGTAGCCGAAAATAACATGGTCTGTCTCCGTTTAGGACAGAGTCTAACCTGCAAATAACCACAACAAATGACAAAATTACTAACATTTTCAAGATATTATACAGTAAAACAGCAAACACAACCAAAATACTTGCAATAACATAGAAGATCAATCAGTGATACATAGAAGATCAATCAGTGACTTGTTTGTTACTATCCCTTCCTCAGATTGAAAGACATGGAACTCTATCGAAGGCTGTTTTCATTTCAGGGAGCAGCTGCATTAAGTTGTTGAATTTCCTTTAACTGCTGTTTTAATGCAAATGTATTATACTGTTTTGGTTCATGTTCAAGTCTAGATGACGTAGATGCATTCGGTTATCTGGTCAAGCATAACATATATTTGAATGAAATTGGACGCTTAGTCAGGAAGCACTTGTAAAAAAAGCTAACCGTAAAAACCATCTCATAATTTGCTATAGAATTGAATGTTTCCTTCTCTTTATTGTGAAGAATGCAACTAATTTTTTTGGTAATTAAGAATGCCAACTATTGGAAACTCTAAACGTTAGTAAGGTGCTGTTCAATAACACCTCTTAATTGCTAAAAAACTAAAAGTTCTAGTAATTCCTCTATGCATTTGATAATGCATAACTACTTACCTTTTAAAAAGTAGTTTCCGCTTAAAAAGAATCTAAGAGGTATAGACTTGTTCACCAGTGGAATTTTCAGTATCGAAAATTCAGCACTAAAATTCAAATGCTAATTTTCAGTTTTATCAGATAGCAGTCCCTAAGGATGTTAGTCCCCTATCTCTTTTCTCCCATTTCTTTTTTCCCTTCTCTTATTCCATCTCCTATGTGCACTATTCAAGTGTACTAGAAGCATGAACATGGATACAGGATAGAAATACAACATGACATACATGGTCAAGCTGGCATGACACCTTAAAAATACCACAGCAAGAATATGGAGATAGAATGTGAATAAAATACATAATTTTATTATTTAAATATTATATTATATACTCCAAACATCACTGCATGAGAACTAAATCTAAATATTCTATGACTAGATGGATTTATAACACAGAAATAAAATAATCATAATTGCCCATCTCAAGATAGTAGTAAATAAGAACATAAAACATATTTGGTTGTTTGTGCATGTACATAAATATGTATTTGTATTTCCAAACACAAATTGATGGACTCCTCTATCTACTCTTACTCTCATGCCCACTGAAAAAAAGGTTATTGCCATTGCAAGCCCCGCCTACATAGGGAGCTAGGAAAGGGAACACTAGAAATAGACCTAACCTTTGACATTATTTTGCACAAAATGGCTGTTCTCAGAACCCATCCCTTTAATAAAAACAAGATTTTATCCTAAAATGAACTTTTATCCAATTTACAAGGTTTGTTTGCCACATACTCGTAAGTGTCCAAAATTATAACAATTACTTTTTCAATCATAGAAACGGTATCCAGAAGTGTCCAAATAGGGTCTGTACTTCTTAGATCTCCAGTGTCTTAGATAGCAATCAAAATAATAATCATCACCACCCTTGCCTTAATCCCATATGAACGGGGTCGGCCACATAAATTATCTTTTTTCAGTCTCTTTTATTACAAGCCATCTCTCTTATAATATTTAACATTTTAAAACATTCTTAATAGTTTCATCCAATGTTAATAGCAACCAAAACGTACACATGAACGTGAGGTGTCAATCACAACTCCTCCCTGAAAGTTGGCAATGCATACATTTTTTGTAATTTAAAGTGTTGCACACAGGACCATGAAACCACAAAGCACATGCAAAAGCCTATTGATTTTGAGTTTGTAGAGTAAGTAAATCATATACCATAAGATATTAAGAAAGAAATGATTGAATCATAATTAATGTAAGAGGTTCCTAATGCAGTTATTCTCCTCAAGCACATTTATAAAGCAAAGGCAGTTATATGAAAAACAAAAAAATATATATATATAAATTTCCCACAAAATATATATGTCAATTCACTCTGCATTTTCACTAATTAAATATGAGAAACAGATATTTCAGCATTCAAACTTGCCTAGAATGTAAAAGTAGCAATAGTTATTCAAGGCGAAAAACTAGAAGAATTAAAAGATACCAGCTCACGAATTTCAGCATTAAATCCAAGCTCCAAAAGGCGATCTGCCTCATCAAGAATCAAAACTGCAAGATCATCCAAATCTATAGACATAGAATTGCGCAAGTGATCTATCATACGTCCTGGAGTGGCCACCACAATATCAGGCCTTGATCTCAAGGCTGCCTCTTGGATCTAAAATAAGTAAGAGTCAAGGACACGATTTTGAAAGAAATACAGAGTAAGCTGATTGATTAACTTGATTTTATTCGGGGAAATGCCACATACAACATGAGTGAGGTGGCATGTGTTATAACTCACACATTTACCTCTTGTGCTTAAGGTCAATTGTTAAAATCTGTATGCCGCTTGGTTTTTTTTTTTGTTTTGGGGGGGGGGGGGGGGGGGGGGTGAGAAAAAGGAAAGAGATCATATATTTCCATGTCAATCCCCATGTTAAATTTATTTTGAGTTGCACTACCAACAAATTTATCCCCCTCCCATAAACCAAAATTCCTGACCCCATGTTAAATTCTATGTAATTATGACAGATATTTTGGGTTTCTAATTTGTCCACATGACATAGCAAGACAAAAGTCATGTTGGAACGTGCTTTCTGAAATCCCTTTTTTTTTTTAATTATTATTATAAGTAACGGATTCCTTTTCTTTTCTTCTCTTTTTTTTTTTTTTTTTTTCCCCTTTATGAAAATAATCTTAGCTTTCTGAAATCTGTAAGACATGAAAATCACATCCATCCTCCAAACTTTTATCATATTAAAAATTCCAAAGGATAATCATACTTGAATCATCAAGGAAATATTCAAAATCTCCGTGGAAAGACTGACTATTTATTCAACAACGAAACTAGATGCACAATCGACGGATTCCTTTTATTTCCTTTATGAGAATAACTCCTCCAAAACCAGGTTTACAATGAATAAGACACTGACAATTTGAAATTTTAGAAACAAACCTTTGTAGAGAGCCCACCGAGTACCAAACAACATCTGATATCTGTAAATTTAGCAAGCGTTTCTATCATACTATGAACCCTATAAGAAATAATTGAAACACAAAATCAGTTGACCAATAAAAAACATAAAAATTAAACAAGGTAATCCAAATGGAAAAAAAATTCATTGCAAGAAGATATTCTCCAAATTATATTTTTCTGAAATTACATTATCAAGTATCAATGGATACACATAGTTCGCGTTGTATCTGACAGGTCATGCATCCATAATCATAATAGCTTAGTTCCCCCTTTTCCATACAGCTTGAATAGGAAAAGGATAATCATTATAGTTTTAGCCAATCCTTGTAGTGCAAAATTTGTTTTAGATCTGGAGAAAAAAGCTATATGCATATTATAATTTTTCAGGCCACAAGCAAAAGTGAATTTCAAGTGTGAGTATTAATGCAAAAAAGCTTTGGATATAACTTCATCAGTACACATGCGCTTGACGTGTGTGTGTGTGTGTGTGTGTGTGTGTGGGAGAGAGAGAGAGAGAGGATTAGAAATTGATAGTTTAAAGTAAGGAGGAAAGGGGGATTGAAATCATTAAAAGAAGGGAAAATCAGTTTTCATATTAGAGCAGAGAAAACAACACAGAAGAAGACTAGTTAACTAAACAAAGCCTTAGCCAAACAATTTAAAATAGCATCAATCCATTTTAAGTCACTAGATCTTTTTAATGTATAAAGATTGAATTATGAATCATCAGATGACATAAACTACTTCTCGTCCTTCCTCTACTCTTGTAGTGCCTTCACATTGAAGTAAAATTCTTCTCCACTCTGACACAACTATTAACCTTCATTGCACATGTAGCATCTCAGCTGACTTCACAGGTTGTCTCCTTTCACATTCTTTTTAGTATATGCATTTGATTGTTTATCTTTAAATGTTTTAACATGTAAAATTAACCACTTTGGCTAAGCTAATTTATAGAAATGTTATACCATAAATCTATGACTACACATAATTACATACCATAATGCATGAATGGTACTATAGCTGCTTATAAAACTCTCCATTTAATTTAATAGTTATTCAATAATCGTGCATCCAACAAACAATCCTCCACTTCATCCATCACACACTTATTTCATATGGGATATCTACCATGAACACTCGCTCCTTATAAACAGCCACAATGATAAACAACACAGTTGCATATCTTGTCCCCATTTATTTCACTATTACCTCATTGTTCTTCCGAATCTTCCCATCTTAATGTTGCTTACACTCAGACATTCAGATTTCAAAGGATGCTTGCACAGTGCTAGTAAAGCGCTTACTCTTGTCTTGCCAACGGAAGTCATATCATAAAGAGTGGGAACTTGAGAGCTACTTAACGTTTTGTTGTTAGGAAAAAAGAAAACAAGTTAATCACAATTTAAAAAAGAAAAACAGAAAAATAAGCAAAAAAATGAACTAAACTGTTGTCTATGGATAATCCAACCTTGGATGGCATCAATCTTGGAAGATGCAAAGGAACTATTGTATTCATTAGGAACACAAGCAAGAATCTCCTAGCTTCCTAGCTCAATCTAGTGCCTGATATGTCAAATCTATCAACATCAAGGGTTGACAGTATCGTTTCGCAATTCCTATCATTATACCACGATGACTCAAGCTCAGACAACATTGTCTTACACAACATTCAAAAACCAAGTCAATCAGGCTTCTGGCACCCTTGTCCAGTTGCATCAAATATCACAAGATTATGGGTTTATTGAGCTTGATATTTGCGTTAACTCAATGAAATAAAAAATAGATGCTTCTCATTCGTTTCATGCTATTTAAATGTGACTGTCCATCACTTATAAATATATTATAAGATCCAGATGTCCACAGTAGAACTTTTAGATTGTATTTTATATTTCTTATTCCATTATTATGTAAAGTGGTATTATTTTGACCATGTTATACATGTTGATCCGTCTAGTTCATGACATGTGCATGTGCTCATAGGAGTGAGCATCTTTTTCATGTGCCAACTCAAAATTTAAAAGTACAAAACTCTTGTTAATCTCAACCAGATATAAACTGCCCCAATTCCGGCACACCACGTTGTAGAAGTTGGAAAGGGGTGCCATATCCCAAATGTACATTGTCACCATCACAATCAACATTTATTTTCCTTCTCATAACTCTATTCTTAACAATCAAGAGACCGTGATGAGATTGTTTTGTATAGGGATAGTACCAGACTGATCATTTCACTTATTGTGCAGCAATGATCAAAATGTAACTTTGTTGCTGACATGAATTAACTAAATAAACTTGACCAATCAGGCCAGCAGAATTAAACTACAATCGTCACTAATGGAGCTTCTGGAGAAAGAGAGTAAAGGCAAGTGCAAAATGGTGTAAAAGCCATGTCCAATGAAGCATAAATAGCTAACAAAAACATGCATATAACTATATAAGCATACATTTATGACACACGTATATGCATGATTGATACCAAATCGTTATAAAAGCAACATAAAACAACTTGAAGGAAACAAAACTTACTGAGCGGCCAACTCCCTGGTTGGGGTAAGAATTAGGACCCTAATTGCAGGCACGCGTTTCGGACGAAACATTAGTCTCTCCAGCGTAGGCAAGGCAAAAGCAGCAGTCTGTGTAAAAGAACAAAAACAAAAGCATTACTTCATGAACATTACCACTAAGTAAATGATTCAATTTTCTGCTTGCTCATGTCCATATATAATCTCGTCTTACTTTTAAAAAGAATAATTTACAAATTCAATATTTAGCGGCTAATTACAAATAGAATATGGTTTGCAACATGCCTTTCCGGAACCAGTAATGGCACTCCCGCAGATGTCTCGCCCCGATAACGCCAAAGGTATGCAGGCTGCCTATAAATTAAATTTAAAATTAGCTACATGCAGGACTGAATACAATACATAGAATATGTCAAAATTGATCTAGTAAATTAGAAAGAAATGAGTGTACAGATTTCGAAAAAAATGAAAAAAAACCTGAATTGGCGTGGGCTTAACGTAGCCAAGTGCTTCGCAAGCTCGAAGCAAAGGCCTAGAAAGGTTAAGCTCCATAAATGAATTCGCATGGAAGCAAGTTCCTTCGGACGAAGCAAAGAACGGCTTGCTAACAACTCCAACTGCATTAGTCTCGTCATCACCGTCTTCGGATCTATAATCCTCCTATATATAATTCAAAACAATCTTCAATTCTTTCTTCATATATATAATTTATAAATTTTACCTTCAATTTCAATTTTACATATATACGTATAAAGAGATAATGAAATGTAGAAAGGTACTTACTTGATGGTCTGGTTCGGAATCAGAGGCGTCTTCGTCTTCGGCGGTGGTGGAAACTGGGGTGGAGCGGTGTTGGAGGGCTTTGGAGATCTTAAAGTCGATGGAGGTGGTGCTACGACGGGCGTGCTCATCGGCGACTGATTCCGAGAAGGAAGCGAAGTCCCAGGGAGATTGCGATTTACCTAGGGTTTCTTCCTCTTCGTCTTCTTCTTCAGGATTGTATGATTCGTTATCGAGTTCTTCGTCGCTGGGAGCTTCGAAGAAGAAATCTGAACCCATGAGAGAGAAAACACAGTCGAGTTCCTGCTTTGCTCTGAGATACAAAAAGGGTTTAGAATTTTGTTCCAAGGGTTTTGGACGGGGGGACGATGGAAAATAACATATAAACGGCGTCGCAGCAAAGCAAGTTAGGAGTGTGCCCCCAAGATTTTTAACTTGGGTCTACTCCCTTATGGGTTGGCTCTGATCGGGTTGGGCCTGTCCACTCCTAGCCCAATCAGTTTTGGACTCTTGTGATTACCCATTTAGTATATACACACACAATTGCTTAAGCGTAAAAAAAGGATTGATGAAAATATTAAATTAAACAAAGGTGTCAGAAGCTTTTTGCGGGATTGGATATTTCTTTATTTATCCAGTAGAAATGTCATAAAATATTGTCTCTAACACAACTTGAAAAACACTTAATTTTTCTTAAAAACATGAGAGATAAAAGCATCTCCAGCGGTGTGTTAAAATAGTTTTTTATGTAAAATATGCATTGTCAATAATGATATGTAATTTTTTATTTTTATTTTTTATACAGCAGTCTGTTTAAGATACACAACTACGTCACAAATGTGTAAAATTATTATATATTTTAGAGCATTTCCAACCTTTGTGTATATTTTTTTTTTGTAAATCTAATGTGTCATGATGAATTTACACAAAAAATTTGGATTATTTAATTTTAACTCCGACGGTTGTTTTATACCTTTTGTATAAAAATATATCTCCCAATGACAATCAACCATATTTCATGCCAGGACCCCATATAACTTTTACAAACCTACTTAATATATGGTTGATTTTTTAATGGAACGAGAATGAGGAATGAGAAAGGAAAAATGTTAATCGTAGTATAAAAATGTTGTGTAAAATACACAACTCTTTTACACATTGGTGATATGGCAATGTATCTTAACAGACTGCTGAAGATGGAAAAAATTTACACATCATAGGTGGCAGTGTGTATTTACACAAAAGTATATTTTAACAGACCGCTGGAGATGCTCTTACATAACCTTTTTACGTCCACATCAGCATTTTTCTTTTTTCCTCCCTCTTTCTTATTCCCTATATTAAATAGGTTTGTAAAAATTATGTAGGACCCCTGCATCACACTGATTGGTTATTATTCGGGGATATATTTTTACACAAAATATATAAAACAACGTTGGAGCTAAAAATAAATAATCTAAATTTTTTGTGTAAATCTACTATGACACGTCGATTTACACAATATATATATATATATATATATAAACAACGGTTAGAGATGCTCTCGTAATATTCAAACTAATGTCTATTAGTACGAATTTACATATTCACTATTGTAAATTTAGTTCAGATATAATCCCGTGGTCAAAATAGTGTTATAACTTTGGGAAAATTTGCTGAAAAAAACTAAGTACTGAAGACAGTTCTCGAGCGCTATATCAATAAGGCTTGAGCGCTATTTTGGAAGAATGGCTAAGTGTTTGAAGGAATGACGCTTCAAAAAATTTCGGCAAAATTTTGGCTAAATATGGGATTAGGGCTTGAGCATGTGGGAGTAAAAATATTTGCGGGATAAGTGTAAAATAAGGCTTTTTTGGCTCCAGACGGCTTAGACGTCTCCAGAAGCTAAAAAACCCATTCAAGAGCAATTATGACTCAATTTCTCCTTAATTAAAAAAAAGACGAAAGGTTACAAATAAATCGCTCTTTTGTAGCAGTTCTTAGTGTTTTGAACAGTGAAGATTCCAATTAGTTGTCCATGGAGATGGCTTCTACACCAATAATGACGACATCCTTCTCTCTATGAGTAGCTAAAGCATTTCCTAGAGAATTGATGTAACCCTATTCCGAGTAGCATGGTTTAATTGTTCTTAACTTTAGGAATTTTTATATGTATATTGATCGCATGGTTTTGAGCAATTGACTTAGTTGTACTAAGCAATTGGATTTTAATAAAAATAATTGGTTTTTGATAAAATTGATCTCTTGTCTTAGAATGAATTTTGTTTAAATTAAATTCAAACTAATTTTTATTGTGAGAATTTGGCGGCTAAGGGCTTCTCTTATCGGTTTAAGTAGTGATCATGCACTGGTGCTTACACGAATATGTGAATGAATGTTTTGATAATTCATATCTAGGAAAGACGAGTTGTACTACACTCTAGATTAGAATAGTTAGGTAAACAATTCGTGCCAACCGAAAATGAGTTATGATTTAGTATTTATTCATATATATCTTTTTAATTGAATTGAAGTGTGCTTGTAGTAGTCACTTGATTCGGGAATATATATATATATATATATATATATATATATATATATATATATATATATATTTGAATTTCTCCATAGTTGAAGCAATTGACCATGTTATAAGGCTAGTGGTGAACTCAATCCTCAAGATCTTTTTCGCTTGATCTCAATAGTTGATAATTTAATTTTTTTTTTTTCAATTTTATTGTAATTTATAAATAGAAAACACCAAATCATCTTTGTTTGCTTGGTTAGTGCACTGATTAGTGATTTTTTCCCACCAATATTTGCTTGCAACTTACATTTTCAATGTGCATTGCCTGATGCATGAACAGTTTGGCTTAAGCGTACATTCTTGTCTCAGATCAGTGGAGTCTCCTGCTCTGTCACATGGACCTCATAAAATGTGTATTGTCCATGTTAGACATCATAGATGTGATTATATTTTTCATATGAAATTATCTATATCTCATCTTGGTTCTAAACTTTTTTACTAGTATGTTAGAGTGATTGTGGTCTCAGTGAAAAAAAAAAAGCTGTGTTGAAAATTGGGTTAAGCCATGGTAATATGGTCTCTTATGCGTGTAGGTATATTAGGATATAATTTTCTGGATCTCATCTTGGCTCTATCCTTTATTACTATTGTACTAGAGTTATTATGATCTTACTGGGAAAAGATTGCGGTGAGCCGGTGAATATAAGGTTAAGCCTTCTGTAAGATTGATATTAGGTTTGTTGTAAAATATAAACCCTGTCTACCTGATGATTGATTCTGTGAGAGAGGTTGGAGGACAGTTTCGTTGGGGGTAACATGTGTTATTCAAACTGTTGGCAAATTTAGTAGTTGCTTTTAGGTTAGGAAACTTTATACGAATCTCTCTTATAATTTGTCATAATTACTGGAACTTATCGTCTGATTTGAGAGTTTATTCGGACCTTCCCTAACTATGAAAATATTTTACACAAACCTCCTTTATGTATAATGGACGGTCAAATACACTAACGGGCCTGTCAAAATTACTGAAATACCCTCATGTTGCCATCTGAAATTACTAAAGTACCCATCTGGGCTCTCTACCGACGTTTGCTTCAAATGAATCTGCCGCCTCGAGGGGAAGTCAGATAGGAACAGTTCCAATCGTCGACGTGGCCGTCAACGGTATTACCTGGATCAATTCTTTGTTACAGTGAAGAGGCTTTTCCGTCAACAAGCGTCAATGCCTTCTTTAGCTGCTGTCAAAAGACCTACTTTCTTTCTCCTTAGACTTCTATCGACAGCGAATCAGAAGCTTTCTCAAAGTGTTGACCGAACTCCTTCGCAAAACCAGTCTTGATCCATCAACCGCTCGGAAACGTAATGATAACGCGGAAGTTTCGAGATGACGACGCGACTATCAGTCTCAGATCTTCGATCGTTACTGCGTATCAAGGGGGTTCGGGCATAGAACCCCATAAAGAGGGGACTGGTTATGAGGTAACCGACCACCGGGGAATGGAAGGCTTGGGTACGTTGTAGCGGAAGACCCCAGTTTGTTACTCGACGGCGAGGAATGGAAATTGTACGGTACGAGAAGGCTTGGGTTGCAACAGCAGGCGGCATCTCTCTCTCTAAATCAGACACTCTCTCTAAATCACACTATCTCTATGTGGTTTTAGTTCGGTGCAGTACTTGGTTTTTCTTATTTTTAAACTTTAGATTTTTTGTATTGGCCAAAAAAATAAATCGTGAGTGGAGGTTTTCGGCGACTACGATTGGAACAGATCAACCTGTATACATGATTCCATCTCCAGGAGGATGTATCACACGCCGATTGCAAGGCCGGTGACCGGTCCAACTGGTCAGGGATACTAAAATCATATATATATATATATATATATCAATCGATAACAACGAGGGTATTTTAAAAATTTTAGTAAATTTTGTACATGAGCCGTTTTTGACTCTAAGAAAAGGGAGGTAAGTGCGGAATATTTTCATTTTTAGAGAGGTTCAAGTAAATTCTTAAACCAAAATAAAGGTCCCAGTGGGTGTTTGTGTAAATTACCTTTAAGGTAATACCTTATTTTTCTGTTCATTGTCTCAGTCGGGGTATTTGATAGGGTGTTAAAAAATGAAATTTGTTTTTGGAAAGTCATTGAAGTTTAATAATTATTTTTTAAGGAACTGAATAATCCGATAAGAGGTGGAAAATCCCATATGTTGGAAGATCTATTTTGCTGGACTTGCACAGATAAATTTGTATCACTCAGTAAGTAAAAGAAATTACTGCCCGAAATCCAAATCCTCTTCCTTCCTTTCAAACAAAGTTGAACATGACAAAAGTTTTGGGTTAAATGGCTTGAGAGCATCATTTGGTACTGAATCTAACAACGTTTTGGTGTTGTCATGTACTGCTTGTTTGCTAGTTGGCAATGCATAACCTGAATTTTGTTGATACTGTAGATGAAGAGGGATTTGGTGGTGCAAGATATGGAACGCATTGTTGATGCTGCAAAGTCGGATATGGTTCTTCTGAATTAGGGGTTTTTAGGTTAGTTCTTACTACTCCTGATTTAGGGTTTTTATCCTTTTTCCTAACCAATTTGTGGCATTATCTTATCATTTTTCTATCTTTTACTTTCTTTATTTTCTTAGATTTACAAACATATTAACTTCTTTCCTGACTGATTTAGTGTTGAAATTAACCAAAAAATAAAAATCAAAAGAAAAGATTTTTCTATTAAAGAAAAAAATCTTGAAAATTCTCTATATGTGCACATCACTTCATATTTGGTAAAGGGGCTGACTGCACTATTGAATTCTAAGAAATCTGACTAAAACCCATGGCTGATTGCGCTATTGAATTCTAATAAATCTGACCAAAACTCCTATAAATTTGGTATGCAGTTTGAATTCTTCATACAATTGTTCTTTCCACTCAAAAGGTTGTAAAACTTTCTTTTGATGTCAAAATGGGGAAAAATAGGATTTGAAAGTTAAAAACTATTGTCGGAGGAGTGGGAGAGTGAGGTAGTGATTGAGGGATTAATATTTTATTATGGATAATCTATTTGTTGCGCAATCTTTACCCTTCCAAAAACTGCAGAAGACGCGGGAGGTGAATTGGCTAAATGTATGTTGGAAAACGAATTGAGGATGCTAAAATCTGAACATGAGAAGCTTATTTGAAAGAACACTTCTGAGGGTATCTATTGAAGCTTATTCCCATTTCAGAAACCGCAAAATTGTTCTCGTCCACTTTCAAGGTTCCTAAATTGAAGAATTCGTCTTCGTTAGTAACTTAACCTCCCTCTGGCGGGCCGCTATTCATGCGTGTATACATTTCACTGTATTTTTTGTATCTTGCATCTATCATGTAATTTATTATTGTTCGCGCGGTTTTTGTTCCTTACACCGGTCAATGGACTCTTCACGGGCGTGCCAGAGTATTTGTACAAAATACCCAAAATATGTAATTGAACACCAGCCTATCCCTTTTTCCGATGGCTGACTATCAGGCGATTGTGTGGGAGAGAGACTAGTAAGAACTCCCAGCAAGGTTCTTTTATGCCTTGTTTGTAGCAAGGACTTTTTAGAGTGTCTAAAGAAATGCAACGGCTGATGAATGTTCGAATGGATGGAATGGCAGAGTGAAGACAGGCGGCAAGAACTTAATCGATCGCCGGCCGAACGTGATGGCGAGAACTTAATCAATCGCCATTAGCCAAACACAATGGCAAGAATTTAATCGATCGCCACTGAAACGTGATAGCAAGAATTTAATCAATTGCCATCAGCCAAGTAATGACGAGAATTTAATCAATTGTCACTACAATTCAATGGCAAGAATTTAATCAATTGCCATTGAATTGAAAGCCTAACTAAAATTGCGTAATTAAAATTGGCATAATTGAAATTGAAAGAAAGTAAATGGCTGAATTGAAATAGTTGACAATGATCTAATCAATTGCCATTAAATTGAAATAAAGAAATTGATAGGAAAAAATGACGTAAAGTCAATTGAAAACATTTTTAGTTGAAATGCATGTTTTGTGGTGGTGCTGGACAAATTGGAATAGGAATACAATACTTCTATTTATAGAAGTTCTATCTCAACTTATTTTCCTAAGTTATTGCTAAAAAATCTCTCCTTCTTTGATTCTTTTTCTTCACAATTTGAACTCAGTCAAATCCTATTGTTATTCCGCTTCCTTTCTTGTTTTGTTTCAGTAGGAAATCTCTATAAAAACAACCTTCCTCGATTTAATCACATGTAAGTTGCCGAGATATTGCTAAAACGTTGCTAGAAAGTTGCTGAAAAGTTGCTAATTTTTAGCAACTCCCCTCCTTAAGTTTAGCAGCCCGTTTCATTCCCTTAAATGGCCTAATGGCCATTTGTAACTTTTGAACTTATACGGCTATTCCTTTCTTGTTGAAATTCCTACTTCATTGGGATTTAGTTATTTATTGTAACTAAATCTCTTAAGTCTTCTCTTTTGAATTGATGACATATTTGAATTGATTCAAATCTCTACAAATATATTTAGCAATAACCTTATCAACAAAGTGGCTGAAATATATTTGCCTAGATTTTCTCCTTTTGTCTCTCTATTGGCCGACTTCCCTTAAGACATAATAAACACTTGTCAATTTCTCATTGGTCCACGTCATCGCTGAGATGGCTGCCAGTTTTTGGTGCCAACAAATGCCCTCTGAATTTCAAATGTCTTATCGGCCACTCAGGCCGATAAGATTTTTGGAATTTTAAAATGTATTGAAAAGAAACTGGCAGCTTACGAGTTTCTAAACTTTATTTCTTCCGGGCCACCTCAAGTTGGTCTTTATTTTGCGTCAGCCAGAACTGGCCGATCCTGGTTCTTCCATTATTCCCTTAAAGCTGGCTGATACCCCTCAAAATATTGGCTATTTATAAACCCATGATAGACCTCACCATTGAAGTTTCCCAACTCTACTAGTAAGGCATGATCGTGATCGGCCGGGATCAAGCAGTTATGTAATGTCATTTGGGCCGATCTAACTGGCTTCTGTTTTGAAAGAACAAAATTCTGCCAGTATGGAGCTTTTCTGATGGCTGATCCTCTTGAATTTTTATACTCCCATGGAGCTTCTGAAAGTACGCTATCCCATGTTTTTGAATAGTCATTTTCTTTGATGACTTCAGCTATATCAGCCAAAAATACCAAGAATAGTATTTCTTTTGTGGCCGATTTTTTATCTGCCGGGGTAAGCTTTTAGAATGCCAGCGGCTATGGCCTGTCTCGTCCTTGATTTTTTATTTGGCACCTCAACAGCTGGCCGATGAAACATTATCTTCAGCCAAAATACCTTTCTGACTAACCTTTTAGAGTTAATATCAGCTAGACTTCTTTTCATTATGGCCGATATTGGTCGCCCTATTTTATTTTCTTCATGTAGCACTGCATCGGCCATGCAAAATTTTGCATTAATTGGCCGATTCATTTTCTTCCGCGAATTTCTTCTCCACTTAACCCTTTTTAGTTTCCATCCCCGCTTTCTTTTCTTGAAATTCGGTTGAGAACGACAGGCTAAAAGAATTCTCTTAGCCAATGATGATTCTGGCTGAGGATTAGATACCACTCTCGGCCAAGTATTATGGTAATCTAGCCGATTTAATTCTGAAATTCTTTTACCTTTCTCGTGTTGTATGAGAGCCTTAACATTCGGAATGGCTGATGGTGTACTCTCGGTAACCTTAGGCTGATTCCCTTCATCAACCTTCCTTTTGGGAGCCTGGCCGATCACATTACTACCTGGTATGAAAATATCATTGTCGACCTCCATGACTTCATCATCTGCTCCCTTTTTGGCAGATATGGTAGATGTTTGAGTGTCGGATGTGGCTGATTTTGGCTTTTTGTACATTGGTCGACCTATTCGCTTAAGGCCATTACCATATTCTTGCTTAATAGGATCAGCCAACTGAACCTTATCGACCGTCGCTGGCTGATTAAGATAATCAATGACCGGTCGATCTTAATTTACCACCAGTGGCTGATTATAATTCGGCCAACCTTCTGGCTGATTATAATTTAGCCAGCCTTCTGGCTTATCTTTGATCATTTTTTCAATGATCTCTATTAAAATTTTGTTTGAAGATTCGGCCTGGCCATTTGCTTGAGTATAGTATGGCGTAGAGGCTGACATATGAATATTCATGTTGTGGCCGAATTGTAGTACATCAGTTGCCCTAAATACTGTTGCATTGTCTGAAACAAGTGTTTCTGGAATCCCAAATCTGTGGATGATGTTTTGTTCCATGAAATTAATCACTGTTTGCTAATTAACCGCTTTGCAAGCCTTGGCCTCAACCCATTTAGCAAAATAATCTGTGGCAACAATCACCCAGTGATGGCCTTCGCTTGATGGTGGATTAATTTTACCAATAAGGTCAAGGCCCCAACCTCTGAATGGCCAAAGTTTGATTATTGGCTGTAATTCTTTTGCTGGTACATTTTGAATCGGCCTGTGTCTTTGACAAGCTTGACAACCTTTTGAGTAATTTATGCAATCTTTCCTCATCCTCGGCCAATAATATCCATACCTGCGAATCAACCATCTCATTTTAATCCCAGCTTGGTGAGCCCCACAGCTGCCCTCATGTACCTCGGCCATAACCTGAAGTGATTCCTCCTTGCTTATACATTGTAGTAAGAGCCCATCTTCTAACCCTTTTCTGTATAGATCCCCGTCTAGAAGCACAAAGTTGATCGTTTTTCTTTTAATACTTCTATCAGCCTTGATGTTTGGATTTCGAAGAAACATTATAAATGGTATCCTCCAGTCATCGTCGGCCAAATCTTCTACATCAATTGTCCAAGTATCAAACAACATAGTATTTCTCAATTCGGCCGATGGCAAAGATCTTCGTGTTATCTTTATTAACTGATCTTCTATTCCGGCTGGTACTCTTATTCTAGAGGCTACTTGGGCCATGCTGTTGGCCTCCTTATTCTGCCCTCTCGGCCAGAACTTAAGTTGAACATTATCAAATTGATTAATTAATGAAGTGGCCAGAGAATGAAACGGCCTTAATTGCCAACTTAGGCAATTAAAATCTTCAGAAATTTGGCTAAGGACTAAGTTTGAATCTCGCAAAATCTTTACATCTCTAACAGCCATTTCAATTAAAATCTCCAGGCCGATTATAAGCGCTTCATATTCGGCCTGATTATTTGAACATTTAAAATCTAAAAAGAAAGAGAATGAAGCCTTTCTGCCAGCTGGCGAAATAATAACAATACCTGCTCCTGCTCCATCAGCCGTGCTTGATCTATCAAACATCAAGATCCAAGGAGTTAAGAATATAGCTGATGACTCCAATTCATCATAAACCCATGGATCAATATCAGTTGAAGGATGATCGGCCAAAAAATCAGCCAGAACCCTTCCTTTTACTGATTTTTGTGGGACGAGACAAAATTGAATTCCATCAAAGCCAAAGCCCACTTACCTATTCGGCCAGTGATCAATGGCCTTGATAGCATATACTTGATCACGTTAGTCTGACAAAGAATGTAAACATCAACAGGCCGCATGTATACTATCAACTTCATGGCCGAATAGTACAAAGATAAACAAAGCTTCTCAATTGAGGAATATCTGTATTCTACATCAGTTAGTACTCTACTCAGGTAGTAGACAGCCTGCTCCTTTCCATGTTCATTGTCTTGTGCGAGCATACTACCAATTGATTCTTCTGCGGCTGATAAATAAAGCTTTAACGGCCACTTCTTTCTTGGAGGCATTACAACCGGGGGGTTTGCCAAATACTCTTTTATTTTGTCAAAGGCCTTCTGATGGGATTCGTCCCAATGAAATTTCTCATGTGACTTTAATTTCACTAAAGTCAAAAAGACATGCACTCGGCCAGCATGGTTAGAAATAAATCTTCTAAGAAAACCTACCTGGCCGAGGAACCTTTGCACTTGTTTTTTGTTGGCTGGGGCCCTAGCATTTATAATAGCTTTGACCTTATTCTGATCAACTTCAATACCTCGTTTATGTACCAAGAACCCCAAGAAATTCCCGGCTGAAACTCCAAATGCACACTTCAATGGGTTCATTTTCAATTGTGAATCCTCATCCTTTCAAAGGCCCTTTTCAAGTGTTCCAAATGCTGTCTCTTGGCCGATGATTTCACAACCACATCATCTATATAAATTTCCATGAATCGGCCAATCATATCATGAAAGATAGAATTCATTGCCCTTTGATAAGTAGCCCCAGCATTTTTTAGGCCAAATGGCATCACAATCCACTCAAAAGTACCAATTGACCCAGGACATCTAAAAGCCGTTTTATGAACATCCTCCTCGGCTAAATAGATTTGATTATAACCTGAATGGCCGTCCATAAAAGACAATATTTCATGCTTAGCGGCCGAATCAATAAGTTGATCGGCCACAGGCATTGGATATTCATCTTTTGGAGTGGCATTATTTAAATTGCGAAAATCCACACAAACTCTAAGTTTGCCATTCTTCTTTATTACAGGAACAACATTAGACAACCATTCAACATACCTATCTGTTCGAATAAATCCTGCCTTAAGAAGTCTCTCAATTTCTTCTTTAATTTTGAGCATTACTTCCGAAGACATCCTTCTTGGTGGTTGTTTATATGGCTGAAAATCTTTCTTAATCGGTAATCTATGTTCTACCAATTTTCTAGACAGGCCAGGCATCTCTTCATAACTCCAAGCAAAGCAATCCTTATATTCATTTAATAATTTAATCAAATCGGCCTGGAATTTAGGCTCAAGCAAAGCACTAACAAATAATGGCCGATTATCTTTTTTAGTACCAACATTTATTTCCAATAAAGGATCTTGCACCTCTGCTTTATTATCTTCCATCCTGGAAGGGGCTGACTCCAAATCTTCAAGTTGGATTGCATCCAGTTTTTCGAAACCTTCTTTAATTATATCGGCCGTGCTGGCCGATACCTCTTTATATAGTTGTTCTTCTTTGGCCAGTCTCTTCTCAGCCAGATATGCTTTCAGTCTGATGCAAGCGGCCCTGAAAGCTTGCCGCTTCTTGTCTTCATTGGTTTTGTGATCCATCAGTAACATCTTCAATGTCCTTGATGGTCGACCTGAAAATATCAATTTTCGGCCGAGCTGCTTCTGACAATAATTCTTTAATATCAGCATTAATTAAATTCTTCTTCATTGTTGCCGCTACTGGTCGTCCCATCCTGTTAATGCCAACAAATTTGATAGGTACAACAGTTTCATCATAAAGTGCAGCCTCAGCCGAATACACCCTAGCTATAAAGGGTTTGTTATCGGCCTCAACAATTTTTACCTCATTTTCGTCCCAAAAAATCAACATTTGATGCAAGGTTGATGGGATGCACATGTTAGGATGAATCCAATCTCGGCCTAAAAGGAGATTATAGGCCGCGGTTGAATCAATGATAAAGAAAACCGTAAAGGATGTCTTACCGCCAATAGTAATTTCCAAAGGTAAAATACCTTTGGTGTTACTAGATCCTCCATTAAAACCACTGATGGCCACGTCGGTTGGAACTACATCATCCATGGTTTTACCCAATTTCTTCAAAGTAGTTGATGGAATGACATTCACCACCGAACCATTGTCAACCAAAACCCTATTGATTGGCTGACCCTCAACCCATACTTTAACATACAACGGCCTCAACTGCTGTGTCATGGACAAAGGTGGTTTTTCAAAAATGATTTTATCGGCCTTAGATGGCTGATCCTGAGAGATCAATCCTATCCCAGCCGATGAACTTGTCAAATCGTTCTTAATTTCTGAAGATTCAGCCTTTTCTTCCTGCTTGGCTGACTCAACATCCCTGTTCACCGTTGGTTCTATCCTTGCTTCAAACACAGAAGGCAAAACAAATACCATGTTACAATTTACCTTATCCGGGAAGGAACCAAAACGAATTCTGTACTTGGCCGCATGCTTTGGATCCTGGTCGGGCTGATCATCTTTTTCTTTATAAAAGCATGCCTTATTCTCAAATGATGTAGCGACCTCCATGTCTTCAGCCACCACTGGTTCAATTTTCCTTTCTAGTTGATCATGGTCGATCTTGTCTTCTTTCCTTTTGAGTTCTGCATTTTTCCTTTGCATCCTCCTTTTTTGGGTACATGTAGGAGGCTGCTTAGGAAACTTTGGGTGACTTACTCGAGTCCATCTGCCATGGTCAACCAAAGGAGGTCTAACCGTTCTTACACGGCTAGATTCTTCTCCTTTTTGAACCCATATTTCTGACTGAATTGTTGGTTTCCTTTTGAAACTAGGATAAAAATGTTGTTCTGGCAGGACTCTATCGGCCACCGATGACCGAATGATTCTCACTGCCCTCGGCCCATTTTCTCTAAATATTGATCGATTGATTTCTTCGTGATTCTGTCTAGGCTGATGGCCTAACCTTTCATGGACACTGCGCTTTCTGGTTGATTGGAAATAGCCCCTCTTGTCTGAGTCATTCCTTCGGCCTTTGCAATTTGGACAACAACCATGGTTGATGAGGGCAATTTGAGCTTCTCTTAACTGAGTTTCCAAGTCCTTAACTTTCTGCTCATCATTACTGGCCGATGAACTACCAAGAACTTTTGGTAATCTTTCCTGTCTACCATTATCAGCGGCTTTTTCAGTTGCCAGGCTGATTACATTGGTACTGACAATATTAGGAAATGGATCGCCATCGACCCCCATTACATCTGGCTTCTTTTCAGGGAATTTCAATACACCTTCATCGATAGATTTCTGCAATACATTTCTAAATACATAACAATTGTTAGTAGTATGATTCCATGAATTATGAAATTTGCAGAACTCTCTTCCTTTTAAATCATTGGTCGATGTTATATTGTGTCCTTTTGGCAAAACGATTTGTTTGTCGGCCAACAAATGATCAAAAATTTGTTCTGTTTTGGCCAGATCAAACGTATAAACCTTACCAGTATCAGCCGTACCCTTCCTGGCCGATGAAGTCGATGGCTGAGTACCACTGGTGGATACATTTGGTTTTGTTAAAGCGTCACATACATAAGGTTTCTTTAGAATGACTTCGGCTAAATTAGCTTCAAAATCTTCCTCTTCAACCACATCAGTTGAATAAACTTCATAGTTGGGGTCCCTATAGTACGTACCTTTAGAGGAATTTTTTCGTTCTTTCTCCTCTTTGAGAACCAACTTATACCTGGTAGCTTTCTCGGCCAGGTCATACATGTCACGAAATGGAACTCCTTCAAACCTCTTCCGAAGTTCAAAATCAAGGCCGTTCAAAGCCAAACGAATGTACTCCTGTTCTGGAAGAGGTACACGACATCTTAATCTTGCTCTCCTGAATCTTGCAATGAATGTCTCGACCGATTCACTAGGCAATTGACTTAGCCTGGATAAATCGGCCAGAGTAGGTTCTGTCTCCGTACGGTAGAACTGATTGTGGAATAATTCCTCCATCTGTGGCCAATTAAAAACAGAGTTAGGAGGTAGACGAATATACCATGAAAAAGCTGCCCCTGTCAAAGAGTTAGGAAAAAGTCTCAATTTCAACCACGGGCTAACACTGGCCTCTCCACATTGAACCGTGAATCGGCCAATGTGTTCCACGGTCGATTGATTCCCCTCTCCACTAAAGGTTACAAAGTCAGGGACTTTATATCCTATAGGGAACTCAACTTGGTCTACCACTTCTGGATAAGGAGTTCTATAAATTGGTCGGCCGGCACCTCTAAGTTCCAGGCCATATTCTTCTGTGAGTAAATCAGCTAATTGTCTTCTATCTAACATGACTTGAGGTGGTTGATTTAATATTGGTGGTACCTGATTAAAAACTGGCGGCTGATTAGCCGCTGGTTGATAGCAATTCGGCCAATCATGTGGCTGATTAGCCATATTCTGCCCCCTGAGCCCTACCTGTGGCGGCACATGAGTATACAGCGGGTTCGGTGGCCTCCACCTGATTTGATTGCCCCCCAAGTTCAAAGGCATCCGAGGAGGGTTTGGTAGAATTACCTGTGGCTGCGAACCTACTACTGGTGGCTGATTAGAACCTGCCAACGTAGGCCGAGGATAGCTTTCTGCCCAGGTGAGTAGCGTATGAACCGGCTGACTTGATGTTGCACCTGGTTGGAGTGTCACTACTGGCGGCCATGGCTGTGATGTTTCAACAGCCCTCTCTGGTCGAACAGCTTGTGATAGATTCGGCTGAGAAGCCGATTCCTGATTGTTGGAGCTGCTAGCTTGAGTCGGCTTGTTCAAAATAAAGGCTGAGAGTTGGGACATATTTTCATGCAAGTCGTTGTAACGTGCTCCCATCCTTCCCATTGCATCTACCAAGGAGCTAACCTGTGCCTGAAGTACGGCTAACTCATCAGTAGGACCTGCTGCAGAGTTCTCAGCCTGTACTAGCTGATCGCCTTCCTCCAAATCTTCATCAGTAGCCACGGCCTTAGAATTTTTTGTGGGCCGCGGCATATTTGCCTCTTTTATAACACTCTAGTAGTGGTCCCACCGGGCGTGCCAAAACGTGTTCGCGCGGTTTTTGTTCCTTACGCCGGTCGATGGACTCTTCGCGGGCGTGCCAGAGTATTTGTACAAAATACCCAAAATATGTAATTGAACACCAGCCTATCCCTTTTTCCGATGGCTGACTATCAGGCGATTGTGTGGGAGAGAGACTAGTAAGAACTCACAGCAAGGTTCTTTTATGCCTTGTTTGTAGTAAGGACTTTTTAGAGTGTCTAAAGAAATGCAACGGCTGATGAATGTTCGAATGGATGGAATGGCCGAGTGAAGACAGGCGGCAAGAACTTAATCGATCGCCGGCCGAACGTGATGGCGAGAACTTAATCAATCGCCATCAGCCAAACACAATGGCAAGAATTTAATCGATCGCCACTGAAACGTGATTGCAAGAATTTAATCAATTGCCATCAGCCAAGTAATGACAAGAATTTAATCAATTGTCACTACGATTCAATGGCAAGAATTTAATCAATTGCCATTGAATTGAAAGCCTAACTAAAATTGCGTAATTAAAATTGGCATAATTGAAATTGAAAGAAAGTAAATGGCTG